CATTTGTGAGGAGGCGAAGGAGAGCTGCAACCACGCCTGGGCCGTTAAACCTATTGAATTTGGCGCTAGGTTGTGGGCAAAACTTTTGGAAAAACAATAAAGGTTGATTTATCATCGCCTCCGGCTCTATTGTCATTCTATACACGGTATTCTACCCAGCAATTTGGTGGTCAAAATTGTCGCGGATAATCCAGATGGAAAGGTAATTAGACTAGTGTCCGAGCGGTTTTAGAAAGTGTGTACCGGTGAATTAACTGGTAAATCGCACGGATATTTTTTCGCTCGAACGGGCCCTAAGTAATAACCCTGAACACTAAATTTTAACATTTGAAAGTTTTTAACTTTTCCAATTGTGAAAATATATGCTCATGGTATGACCAAGTGTTGAATTCTCTGATAAGGATCAAAACCACAGACCCACAGTGTACCATTCTAGCTTGTGTGCATTTTAATAGTATTTTATTATATCATTTTAAATATTAGAGCTAATTTCGACTGCTAAAAGATTGTACTAGGCTTGCTGTCTAAATATTCAAAGACTGAAAGTCAAGGGTCACAGCCGACGTCAAGCGTGATTGACGACTACAGTACCGACCAGTGCTGGCTCCAGAAATTTTGCCGATAGGGGGTCTGACATGTTAGACAGGAGGGTCTGAACGAAGGGACTGACTAGAGCCTTGTTTGAAATTATAGTCAATGGGGGGATTTTTTGTGGCTTAATATGACCCAAAAAGTTGCTTTTAGACTGCAAAATTAGGGATGAGCAATCAAAATAACATTTTTGGAAAGGCAAATTAATATTGTGGGTCTGATGACCTTGTCGTGTAGTTGGACGACAGGGTACCTAGGCCTGTACAACTAACAAAATTCCCCCGACCCCACGTTGGCGCTACCAACTACCAAGCATTATGGTACCATGATGAGGCTGTAAAATCCTGATAAGAACACCGCGCAAAGTTAATGTTTAAATCTGGTCATTCGTGGCCTAATAATGTGTCTATTCATAGAGGTATCCATGGCCTATTGTATCTAGATACTTGTCAATTGCTCACCAGATGTGTTATATTGTCCAGTGTAAGTGACCATTCATATCATACCTGACCTTACATCTCAGTGTGTAGTGGTCAGTCAATATAGTGACCAAGCCTCAAAGAAAACGCTGCAGGGCTCTCAGTAACAGCTGCTAGCATTGATACCACACAACCAACTGTGCGCCCACTTCATTCTTGTGTTTCCATATTGATATTAATAGCGATTAACCATTTTTTATATAGATGGGGATACTATAGTGGATGAGTTGATGATTTAACCTACAGTTGGAATTTGGTTTTAAATTGATATTAATAGCGATTAACCACGTTTCATATAGATCGGGATAGAAAATGTGAGGAAGAAATGTACTGTAGGCAATTGGTTTTTCATATTGATATTAATATTGATTTACCATGTCTCATATAGATGAGGATAGAATAGAGGATAATGAATTGTAGTGTAGATATTAGTGAACAGTATAAATTTGTAAGTACAGTATGATACACATTAATTTGTTTTATTTTACTAATTTTGCCCCAGGTGTTTTCTGTTTGAGTCATTCTATCCATCTCTATTAAATATGCCATAATATAGAGTACTACAGTTGTGTCGTCATGACGCCAGGTGGCGCTCTCTGTTGTCAACAGACGTTGGTTACCGCTCATTACGTCTGAATGACTTCATAGGCTTTCTGGAATAGGCATTTTAAAATCTAATATTTTACCATCAAAATGTACTAAAAACACAAAAACTCGCATTATATCAAACACACATTTAATCATCAATTAAAATTTACAAGGAAAAAGTAAGATAAAACATCTTAATAATTATGTTAGAAATTGGGATCAGTGGTGTGTCAGTGAAGAAAATGGCGTCCGGTTGAACACTTTTTGTAACGATAGCAACGGAGTAGTATCACTTGGTATCATGACGTAACACCGTAGCACTCTATTACTATAAATGTAGTTACTCAAAACAAAGGGGAGAAAAACTAAGTTTTGTTTTAGTTTGAGCTAAATTGCATGAAATATATTTTAGTAGGTTAAGATAATTGAAAGAAAAACGCTGCAGTACAAGTTACAATATAGAATTTAGCATGGGTACAAAGTGATGTTGTCAAGGTATGCATAATATTCAAGAATCAAGAATTTTTATTTGTCTATATACAGAAATTTATTATGCTTGGTAGATAAAGTGACATTAAAATGACAAATTAATTTTATAAATATTTATTTTATTTTTTTAAAGTAAATAAAATTTTATACAATATATAAATTAGTAAAATGTAAAAAGTGTAAAATTGGAGCCTCTCTTTAATGTTACAGTAGTTGGACATTTTCCTGGTTCGAATTGAAGCCTACTGTAGCTTGTACTATCTGGAAGTGTAAAAGTGAGATTTTATAAGTCTGTTGACTCCAAGTCTGTGTTAGGCCAAATAAAAAAAATTACTAGATTCTCATTTTCTCGCGCATTCTTTTTCTCTGCCTCACCAAATTAAAATTTTTTTTTTCATTTCTGTTATTTTACAAAATGTAGGAAAATCTGGCTAACTCGCATTAGTAAAATTCCTTTCTCGATCGATCTTTTGTGGTTGGGATACGTATATAGACCTATGAATCGTGTCTAGTGCTTCTCTTATTTGCTTTCAATGTCTACTTGGTAAAAGTGAGAAAAGTAGTAGCTGTTTCTCATCGAACAATCTTGGATTTGCCATCTCGTAGGAAAAAAAAAAGCACCCTCATTCTCCTTTTTCCAAAATATTAAGAGGAGAAACTGCTTTTTTTTTTACTTGGCCTTATTTGTTCAATGTAGAAAAAAAATTATGAAAATGAGTGTTCCAATGTTCTACCAATTGAAACATTTTTACTGGTAAATTTGTCCATAAAAATTCAGCTATGCATGCAGTGCGAGGTGTTATCCCTTTTGAGTGGGGTTTATTGACTTGAAAAAAAACAACAATACACATTATAGTCATAGCCTGTAGGTATAGACTGGAATGATGTTCATTTATTGAAAGAAAGCCAGCCTAGACTACCGCGGCCTAATCAGTGGTTTTATTAGTTTACTACTTCTACTGGTAAAATTGACGGCTAAGATGGCTTCGGGAGAATCTTTGGGGTGGAGGATAGGGGATGGTTACAGATACAATACTCACAATTAAAAGGCTTATCATATAGTCGGATATTTCATCGCATGATCCCTTATATACAGTACGTTGGACATCATGTTGGGGCAGACTCCGATCTAAATGTAGGTAGACACGCATGCTGAGATAACTAGACTCCACACCCCAGGCTTTAGGTCGCAGATTCCATCGAAGTGACACATTAATAATGTTTATTTTAAGACTATTTCTCAAGTTCTATTCTCGGGCTCTAATTACAATGAGCTTTTTTGTAATTGGAATTCGATTCCGCTTGAAACAAAACATGTTTCCGTTGGGCAGATTTTGTTGCCGACACAGCATTTAATAGACAGACTTCATCTGTGTTGTACAAGTGGTCAGTGCTTTGTCTGATCAAACTACGGTAGGCCTATAGTACTGTATTACGGTAGAAAGCAAAATCTGTGATACCTGTATACATTTGCAACAGCCTTCAGATGTGTGTACTCTAAGATGTTATGTGATTCTAATTTGTTGTCGAATCAGTTATGTACCGGCATAGTAGCCTATATTATAGATACATCATGCTTAGTTATTAATTTATTTTTATATTTTTTATGTATACTTAACAGTACTATATGGTACTGTGCTTTGAAATTTGTTTTTAATTCTACTCTCTATGGACTTGTTCTGAAATAAAAAGTGCTTTAATTGTATTATTGTTTGTGAGTTGTTTCGTTTTAAGTATTTTACTTGCCAATTTAATTTAGGTTGGAACTAATGTTTTTTTTTTAAATTTTAATGACTTGAAAATGTACTCACTGCTTTTCCATATTGGACAGATAAAATTAAACCTGAACCTGAGTTGGTAAAATATGTATTGTATCTGACATGCTGTACGTCTTCTATCTAATACTGTTTTGGTAATATAACAAACGACATATTTCTGTTACATTGTTGCTGACACTGCATTTACTGTAATAAACTTCAATAAAGACTTCATCCGTCCCTGACAAGTGGTCGGTGCTGTCTGTATTACCTGTATATTTAATGTGTTCCATCTGATATACTGTGCTATAAGCATTGTAATATGGTAATATAATTTCTATGAATCTATTGCGCATGATAGGTCTACTATATATGGTAATGGTAATATAGATTTATAAATTTAATTTCTTTGGCTTAGTATCATCTTCCTCTCCCGTGAATTGATTTCATTAGATTCAGAATTATATATAGTTTTCCAACATGCACGATATACTGTATAATTTTGAATATATATTCATGTTTGTAGAACTTAGTATTTATAGGACACAGTTTTAAATGACGATATATTTTTTTGCGTACAGTGTGGATTTAAGCCATAGGCCGTCGTGATGGCAACACTAGGGGCAGAAATACGCTGCAGTCAACACACGTATGATAAGGTGACAAAGGCGAAAGTGACGCTCGAAAGCTTCTACACAAATCTGCTGTTTCAGCACGAGGAACGACAAAACAGGTGAGAATTATGAAAATTAATTTATTCTGATATAATTTCCTCTTTTCCACTGGGTTTGCTTAAAAAACGAAATTGTTAATTGATGGTAATTTTGTTTTTTAACTAGTCATAGGGAGTGGCATTTTTTTATATATGATGTAATTTCACATTCATCAATTTTAGGAAATCTAAAATCCAGCCCTATACAATTTATACACACCTGGATATAACACACAAAGAACTGCATTAGTCATGTATGTACTCTTTTCAAAGGGACAATGTATTAAATACAAAAAGAAAAATGAAACCAGACTATCGAAATATTAATCTGACCAATAAAATTCTATTTAAAGGTAAGTTGTAATATCTTTGTTCAGGCTTCCTACTCCATTGAGTTTTAATATATATTAAAATTAAATATTTTCTAAATCATGTTTGCTTAAAAGAATTTGTGATTGAACAATTTTGAGGTCAAAATATTAAAACTAATGATTGGGTTGATGACTCTATAAACAACCAAATTATATGTTTAATGATAGGGAGGCTGCATTATGCAAATTATTCGTTAATTATGCAAATATTGTGTGGCAGTTGGTTTTTATCCTAACGAGATCACCGACAGTTTACTAATATTATACTAATAACTTACTTAGGTTACTTCTTCATATTTGCTCATATGACGATGGTTATCTTCTGTTGAATTATCGCAGATAACTGAAATTCTCCAACATAAGTTTCTTCTCAATTGCAAAGTGGTCAATATTGGATATTAATTCTGAATTAGTAACAGCTGTTCTGAGCAGATGTGGTACCAAGTGTCCAGTTAATTAATTAGTCTTTTCTGGTTTGAATTCCTTCATTTGATAGTAGATTTCCAAAACTATAACTTACTTAGTACTTATTTGCAAATTATTATTGTATTTAATTTTCATTTTATTTATTTCTGCAAATTGACAGTACAAAAAAGAATCAAAATAATGCAAAATGTGGAACATAAAATTCAGGATGATACCCAGGGAATAGCATCAAAAGCAGAATAGAAGTAAATAAATGTAATATGAATTAAAATAATATTCTTTTTACATCTGTATATACAGTAGACATAATATATCAAAATAGCAAAAAGCATGGACCATAAATATGAATATTATAACATACAGAATATCTTAACATTTGCTGGTTAGTGCTATTCCTAATACCTGTACTATTTATCAAATGGTGTTTGATAATGCTATCCATTGCTAATAGTGTTGACATTATAGGGGCCATCAAAACACACTCTCAAAGTGAGGATATCTGAAAACATGCTATGCATGAAATCAGTTGATAAAAGAATGTAGTATTTGTATAAAGGAAACAAAAACATCCATATATTTTTTATCCCGATTCAAATCCCTGCATGACCTACTGATAATGTTTAAAAAAAAAAAAAACTATTGACTCTTATGTTATTATAATTAGACCAATGCAAATATTATTCAAAATCAACGGAGAGGGCAAGCAGCCAAGGCCTACAGCATGCTGTGTGAATAAAAAGCTGTGTCGTGTCCATAGAACTCCAAAATAAGCACATAATACAGTGCAGTGTTTGCAATGTGGACAGGTTTCCCTCCAATTATAGACCACTTTTGCGACTAGGGTTTTCATGGTTTTTAGATGCTTTGGTCTTTTAATTACATAAATTATTCTTATAGAACAGACATTCATTTGGGGCCACAGAAAGGTGGTCTTTAATTGGAGGTGGTCTGTAATTGGAGGGGTCTTTAATTAGAGGGAGGCCTATGTTTGAGTAGCTTAGTGGCTACAAGGAAAACTAAAGGGCCTACAGGTTGAATTGTCTTATCTCTTTTTCTTATGGTGTTTGTGCTAGGTTATGGGGGCCCGCACTTACCCAGTACAACAGTTTGTTTTATCTGTCCCAGCATATGCTAGTACCCATTTAGATAAAGTGTCTTGCCCAAGGGACACAAGCGACAATTTGTACAGCGATGGTTTTGAACACCTCATCCAACCATTGCGCCAACCACTTACAGAATTCTACGTTGAGAATCAGGTTCTTTCTCACATGTAAAAATGTTACTGCCTTTAAAACCTGTGTTTCCCAAAGGTTGGGTCATGGCCTCTAAATGGGGGGTGTTAGATGTTGCATTTTATGGGTTTGATGTGATTGCAATACCATACATAAATAATTTGATAAAACAATTGATAACAATATTATATAAACAACATAATAATTAAAAGGTGTGTATCAGAGATTTCTCTAGAACTCAGAAGGGAATTTACAACATACATACATTTTAATAAGTTACATATTTACCGATGTGAAATTAGCCTATCAACCGGACGATGTGATTTTCCGTTACTTGGCATTTCATTGATAATGGAATTGCAGACACTATAACACGGAAGTAGTAGTAGGCTTAATTACCGCTGACTCAGTGCAATCAATAATAAAACAATTTACTATTGGTATTTAAAATGTGCATGCATAGAAATTTACATTGTAAAGTATATTGAGCTCGATCTCGCACACTGTTGGTTTTAAATGCCATTTATGTAGTCATGTCTGCCTAATTCGATTACATTGTTTTAGGCATCTAGGGACCATAAAAATACCCCCCAACATTTTGTTTAATCACTGCAATCATGGTGGGCTGAGGTATGGAAGGAAGGATTTGGAGATGTACCTAAAAGGTGTATTTGATAGTACGTTTGTAGTTTGAAGAAAGTATATTGGTGGGTGGGGGCGGGCAGGTGGTTTTGGGAAGTGGATGGTATTTAAAATGACATGTACTCAAAAGTTTCAAAGTAAAAATTAAGATTTTTGGTTGTGGACAAATTGGTCTTTGGGAGCTTATTGGCACAAAGGTTGAGATTCGGTCTCAATTTGAGGTCGGAGGTTAAATCCCTAGTAGCTGTGAAATTTGCTTGTGTCCTAGGGCAAGGCATATTGTGTTCATCTGTCTCTTTCCACACAGGAGTATAAGTGTGTACCTGGTAGGTTTAACCCCCACGTGCTGATTACAATATTTTGATACGTTCCATTATACTGTAGTATTTGTTCCAATGACCAGGGTATTAGTACGATAAGGACGAAGAGTTTTATGAAAACATGTGTGCTATAAAAATATACCATCCTATGGGAGATTTCAATTACACAATGATGTTAAGATCGTGAATGTAATGACGTCACGTAAAGACATCCATGGATACGATGATGTTGAGTTCTCGTCGTCTGAATTCTAGGACGTATATATGTTTTGTAGAGAATGCAGGATGGTCACAGATGAGTGAATCTGTTGCACTGCAGGGTCATGTCACGCAAATCAAAAAAAGCTTCCTATTACCTTGTTCCTAACTTTATAAGATATCATGTTATGAGTAAATTTGCTGCACGCTTTAAAATCGAAACGGTACTGGTTTTGGTCTACAGGAGTTCATGTCTTTAATGGTGGAAGCGTACCTATCGTTAGCCATAGTAGCCTAGGTCAAAACATAACAAACACACAATATGTATTTAAATTTAATTGTTATTGTAAGAATTATTACAGACACATTTAAAGTTATCTATTTGTTTGTACATTTAAATTTAATAATGTATTGTTAGAGATGTAAGAAATTATTATTTGGATAATAACTTATTGTGTATTATCATGTAGAGTTATAGTGTTTGCACTTCTTCACTGATTTCTAAACCTGCTAAAAAACAGTGTAATAAAACAGGGTAAAGATCCTAACATAATGAAAACAGTTATACAATAGCAATATAATCTCTTTTTCTTTCAAAAAATGAAAATTATAATTCATATAGAACAACCCTTAAAATTTCAAATACGACATTGAAATACACATAAAAAGATCAAATAAACCACAGAATCAAATTAATTCTGTTTTCTTCCTACACAAATTCATAAATTCAATGCCAGCCAAATTTGGTCTGTAGAACGAATAAGAATGACATTGACTCAAGTGTGGTTAATTGGCAGGGATATCATTTTCTGTTTCTAATATTCAATTGAAAGTCAATAACTTCCTTAAAGTAGGTAATCCAGGTATTGAGCAAACAGATAATTTTCTATAGATTTTGAAATTTATTGCTTATAGTTAAACAAATGTGGCTCAGCAGCTGAGAGGTTGACCAAGACGTGTTGTTCCTGCTTCTTAAGCTGCAGACCCCAGTTCAAACCAGCATTGGGTTTTGTCTGATCGCTTGGCTCCTCAAATTGTTGGGTCGTGCACCACTGCAGCTGCTGCGGATCCCTAGGGTTAGCCCGATTTTTTCCGATGACTAATAAACAATTATTATTGTCGTCGTCGCCGCCGTCAATAATAATTGTTATTGATTATTATTATTATTATTATTATTATTATTATTATTATTATTATTATTATTATTATTATTAAAATGTCCTTCATTTCTCAATTTTAGTCACTTTAATATTAAAAATATTAATGATATTAAATGTTAATTGTATAATTAAGCTTTTATTATTATATGCAACGTTTCATTGATTGCACTTTGTTAAATGAATATTATTACTGTAAAAACAGGTTGGCAAAGGGTGGACTTCGGGCAACATGCAGCTCGATGGCAATTTTGTTGCAGAGCATTAAAATAAATTAAAAACCCTGTACACTATGTACAGCCCACCTATCATCTCATCGGCTCTAGGATATATTTTCTGGGAGGGGGGGGGGGCTAAGGGCTAAGTTGTCCGACAGGAGGAGACTTGAGCTCGTAGATTCGAGCTGGGGGAAGGAACTTCGAGGGGTCCCCCTCCCAAATGAGATTTTTTTAAAGAATAGCAACCTGTAGATGTCTGGAAATGGCACTCTCAGACTGTGACAGACATGTGTTGGCTTGTTGTGGGCCTATTTTTATAGGTTTTATGGTCTGACCGCCCGACGAGCTCTGTCCGGCGGGGGGTTTGACCTGTCTGGTGGGGACTTAAGTCCCCTGTCCCTCCCTCTGGCACCGCCACTGATCGCAGTACTGTAGGGGCCAAAATTGTTCATTGAATAAATTTGAAGGGCCAGGGCAAGAGGTGTACTACAATAGTGCCATTGGAGCGCCGCAGGTGTGAGCCTGGGGTGGTTAGGGGGTGTCCCCTTCTCAAATGAGAAACTTTTTGAAAATAATAAGCTGTTAGACGCTCATACAGGGCTGACCTAGAAAGTTACCCTTGTGTTTGCTGATGCAAAATTCAAAAATTATACCACACAATGGGTCATCGGGCCGCATAACGCGCACTCACAGGCCGCCAGTTAAGAACCCTGACAAAAGGTTTTTTTTAAGCATACTGTAAATTTGGGTGTGGCCTCTATGTTCAATCAAGAATTCTTTTTAGCTCTTCATAATTTTTGCTCGCACCTGATAATATAGTATTTACTTGTGTAATTAACTTTTATTAAATTTTTCATTAAATTGCATTATAGTTTTTGTTTTGTTTTGTTTGTTTTTCTTTCGTTTTTATGTTTAGGTTTAATTCCTTTCCAGTTAATATGGCTGCTATCATGAAATGATGTTTATTAAATAAAGAAAAATAGGCTTATTTATTCAATATTTGTTTCATAAATAATTTAGTTTATTGCAATTTAGTTGGTGTAATAATTTTTTTTTTCACATTTTGTACATTTTTACAAAAGGGAAGTTTTTTTTTTTACATTGCTTTAAAAATGATACAAATCCAGTGTAACACTAAGGAAGAAACAGAATGTTTCTACAATTGTTCCTGTTTGAGCAGTTTCATTTTTCAACATGGATCAAATTTCACGATTAATTAATAAATTAGTAAATCAAAACCTATACTACTTGAAGAGTCAGCTCATTTACATAAGTAGGCATTGTTTATTGAGCAACTGGTGTTTTGTGTATTGTGCTAATATCATAGACAATACCTGTTAATGAATACCTATTGTTTGCAATCATATGGTACTTCAAAATATGCAAGGTTGAATTCCACATCTATGTGTGATCAATAGAACTGTATTGTATGATTACCATGTTTGTGTCATATTGGTGGATACTTAGTGGTTATTTTTAGCAATTTAAGAATAAATGGTTTTATGGGGTTTGAATAGCATGTTATCCAAGGAAAGTGAAACATCAATTAAAAGATAGATTACTGAGGAGTAGCAATTAATATTGCCAGTGCTTGAGGTTATTAACTTTTTAAAGAGCATTCTAAAAACACTGTACTCTTTTTTAAAATCCTTCCTCCTAAAATAATGAGATAATCTTTGTCTTTTCACTCCTCCTGAAAGAACACACAATAAATTTGTTGATTATTGTTATTTTTAGATCATCATTTGTGGCAAAGACAAGCCAAACCAGTCACTCTTCACAAAAATCAATTTTCATATTTGAGAAATATCCTTCAAAGTTTATGATTTTCTTAGGCAGAAACCATCACCAAATCGTTAAAAAATTGTTTTAACATTGAAAATGGGGAATATAACAGCATTGCATGATGTAGATAAGGTTAATGTAGTGCGATAAAATAGATTTCAAAATATTCAACCATGGAGATCTTTAGGTCCCCGGTTCAATTCTTATCGCTGCCTCTCTTTGTTGTTCAGCTGGAGGGCTGAAATACAAGTTTCAATAGCACATCGTCTTTCGGATGAGAAGTTTAAGCCGTTGGTGTTATGGCGCATGTGCATGTTAAAGAAGCAGTACACTCTTCGGAAAAGAGTAGGGGGTTGTCTCACGGTGTACTGCCCAATCACAAACAGAAGGACACCACTGGAAATAAGTATTTTTCTAGACTTTCGTGGGCTATCCTTGGTGTTTACTGTACACCGAATAAACCAATCCAATCCAGTCCAGTCCAGCATGTTTTGGCCAATATCTCTGAAACAGGTTTTGCGATGAGTGACTGGTCGGGCTTGTCTTTGCCACGTTGTATCTTGTTAATGAAAAGTACACAGTATACTACACCTTAATCTTTTCCTCCTAGTTATATACTAATATGAAAGTATTTAACAAAATGATGCAATGATGATGACTTTTGGAAAAGCCGATGTTTGATGCTGATATTGATTTTATAAATTTATTTATTTATTTATTTCAACAATAATTTGCGAGGGAGGTCCGTCTAGCCAGGGCTGATGAATTGGGACCCTCAGCAGACCTGTCAAGTCTTAAGCATTTCACTTTTTACTTCAAGCCCTCACACATTCTAGAATTTCTTCAAATTATATTATTTTAATGTGCTATTTTCTCAAAAGAGGCATACAACATGTACAAACACGACTATCGGTGCTAGCTATCCCGTAGCGATCGTCACAGAAACTGAAAACTAAATGGGATATCAAAGGGACACTTTGTATCAGTGTATTCACTGTAACGATGTATGTTATATTGTCGCTTGACTGTATTTTCCTTGTGTTTTCTTTTGTGACCATAATTTTCAAAAAATGCCCAATCTCGAGCAAATCCAGAAGAAATCTGCAGCAAGCCAGCGCAAGACCCTTGACAGGTCTGCCCTTAAATCAATACATACAATTAAAGACAAAAGAATAAAAATTAAACTAGATCTTTAACATAAACAAAGTAATTAAATAAAAACAGAAAAATGAAAAAAATCAGAAAATATTTTTAAAACAATGATTTGAGGAAATCATTAAAAATTAAAATTAACGTAATGAAAAACAACTAAAATTGACACATTATACAGAAAAACAATTGAAATAATAAATTAATCCAGAGAATTAAAGAGAAGATAATTCATTAAACTATCATAGATAATAATATATTCAAATAAACAGAATTATAAATAATTTACTTTACAAAGGAAGAAAAAACCAGAGCAAAATAAAGATTTAAAAATATTGCAACAAAAAGAAATGGCCGCAGGGAAAATTATATAAGTTTGGATGAAAGTTAATTCAGAAGGTTATATTTGAAAGAAGAGAAAAATAAAGCAGATCGTCAATTTTTTCTAATTTTGATAAATTAATCGTGATGCACGATTATGATTTTAGCCTGAACAAGGTTATTGAACAAATGTTAATAAACCAATATTACAGATATTAAATCATAACAACATTAAAATCAATGACTTAAAATCAATGGCGTTATCTCTCACTGATAAACTGTATCCAGATCAGCTACTGTTGGTTAATGGTCCCTGCACCATGCATTATCTGGGTGCAACCACGTGAAGAAAATGAGAAAGGCAGTTTGCAACGCCCTGGCTGTGAAGGGCATGCTGTTGCATTATTACCCAAATCTAAAGACTCTTCCATAATCAATATCTAACCATATTTTCAATAATACCAGGCTTAGCATGTACAATACCACTTTTAGTTGCCTAGTGTACTGTTGCCATACCAATTAGATGTGGGTACAAAACTATTATACATGGAATAATTAAACATAATTATGTGTAGATCAAAAGCAATTGAACTATGTTTAACATTTCATATTTTAACTCTGAACTATTCTATGAATTTAGGCCACAATTTATGTTACCGTGGTAACAGGAATCATAAATGCCAAACAGAATGTATTTTATTGAACTACAAAATCCAAAAAAATAATTGCTCAGGTTCTAATAAAGCTTGCATATACTATCAGATATCTGTCAGATAAACAGACAATATTTGATCACATTTTGATGAGGTACAGTATTGCATGGTCAGGTTATCAACAGACATGGAAAATTACTGTACATGATTTGTTTGATCAGTGTGTGTGAAATAAACGTAGGCTAATTTAACATAGTCAAAGACAAAGATATGAGACAATTTCATGCTTAAAAGTAATTAGGCTTCTTTATTAAAGATATATTTCATAATAAAAAAAATGTTAGTACTGTACTATACTTTCTGTGGTGTAAGCCCACCCACGTGAAGACAACATTGGGCCAATTTTTTGGAGGTAGGTTTATACCTGGGGAATCTCCTTTTTAATTAAATGGCAATATTTCAGCACTGAATACCTAATTCAAAGCCAATATTAGATGTTTTATTCTGAGAATATTTGTAAAGTCATACCCTGGGCTTTTGCTTGAGGAAAGGCTGGTACATAAAATTGGACTTAAAATAGGGGGTGGGCTTATGCCCGAGGAACTATGGTACTGATGATTATCTTCTGTCCGTCTGTGATGGTGCTAGTGGGGAGGTGGGGTTGGGCAGGAATAAAGAGTCAAAACAAACATCCAAGTATCAAATAAATTAAATTAAATTGCTATAATATTGATGCTAGTGAGAAAATTGTAAAAAATGGTAAACTATGATTATAAATATTAATTACATTGCTAAATTTTATTAAATATGGTTGTAGTATTGATTGTCCTTCAGATGAACTATTTTATTCATATTTTAGTAGTATTAAATTATCTTTGAGCTAGTGGCTTTAGAATCTGGTATTGATGGTTCTTATGAAGCGAAACACACCAGATATATTCTACTCACTAAGTGTCCATAGAGAGTAACAGTGTATTGAAATATGCAAATTATGTAATGATGTCATACTCATAATATGACATGTCATATGATCTCATTGCTAGGCTGGTTGTGACATCATTCGATGGGATGATGCTGTGTTTGTGTTTGTCACTTGAGAACAACCAACATAACTCACATTTCACATACATGGGTGGTCGTTATACAACATTATATTACATTGTGTAATGAACTATGTTTATTCTTTCATGCGATAGCCATCTGTATATTGTTGTTTTATTAGTGTTTTTATTATCTAATAATAATTTAATAATACTCACATATTTACATACATTATTTATGATATTACATTGTGTAATCACTATTATAAACTATGTTTATTCCGAGATGGTATAGATAATAATCTGTTGTTTTATTACTGTTTATATTTGTTAAATGATAATTTAATATTATTAGTAGTGTTATTGATTTGGTATGTAGTTTCTATATGTGATTTTCTGTCTTATAGAATCAAACAATTAGAAGAAATAATAGAAGGCCTCTCAGAAGAAGAGGTAAATATTGCATACACATGTTTTATTATCATTAATTATATAATTACTGTATTATATTACATGAGTTGCCATTAGACTTTGCTTCCCAAATTTCTCATGAACTTTACACTTTAAAAATCATCATTGCCATCATTTTTGAGATGGTGCTCATCCTGTATATTGTTGTCATCATTATCATCACCATGGTTATCATCATTTTAATTGTTTCTGATTATCATCATCATCATTAGCATCATTACTATGTCACCAATATTCTTCAAAATATTATAAACATGAAACATAATTACTGACAGTCAATCATAACATCATCATTGCTGTTACCATTTTCTTCATTAACATTGTCACCATCCGATTCGTTGTCACTATTGATGTCACCATCATTTTCACCTTCATAACCAATGTCATCAAACTCATAATATTATCGTCAACATTATTAGCATAATAATGCTGTTATTTCTTAATATCATAAACATTACAACATTACCATCTCCACCTTCATTGTCATAATCATGTTATCATCATCACAATCACCATTATTAACCTAATTCTCATCATCAACATCACTTCATTCTCAAAAATTTTATAATCATTACCTCATCAATCATCATCATTATCAACATCATCAATATTATCAAAATCAACATTATTAGCATAATGCCATGCATTATTATTAATATCAGATTCACATCATTTTTGCCATACCATTATTGTCATTGTCACCATATCATATCAACATCTTGAAACATTTAGCATAATGTCACTATTCTCAATATTATAAATATCACATCATTACCATCTTCATCTTAATTGTCATCATCTTATTGTCACCATCATCATCAAATCATTGAATCATCGTCATTCATTGTAATTAAAACAACGAATATGACCAATGTTTAAAACCTTCCTTGCAATTTTTGTAATCAGAAACGAGAGAAACGGGCACAACATGCCCAGAAAGAGACAGAATTTCTACGACTAAAGCGGTCACGACTTGGAGTTGATGACTTTGAGTCGCTGAGAGTAATTGGACGAGGAGCATTCGGTGAAGTGCGACTCGTCCAAAAGAAAGACACTGGACATATTTATGCTATGAAAATTTTACGCAAGGCAGACATGCACGAAAAAGAACAGGTGGGTGTATTTGAATATGCAAATTAGCATGAAACCAATTTAGGGTTGATTTCCATATTTTAACATTGACCTTTTAAATGGTTTTAATGCTTTGATATTAGATCCTTATATTCAAACAATATTTACTTACGTGTATTCACACAACTCATTTTTGAATCAATTTTTTTATACAGTTAAACTTGCCTAACTCGAATAAGTCAAACTTTTTTATTTTTTTTTTTTATTTTTTTTTATATTTTACATGCCAAATTGTTGTATTTTCCATTAATTAAAAATCTGTAAGTCAAATTTTATCTAAGTCGAACAATTTTTCAATGGCATTTTGGATTCAACTTAGGCAAGTTCAACTGTATTGCATGACCATGTTCAGTGTTATACCAAATTAGGTTCCTACTTCCATGTTAGGCTTTGATCCTTGTTTATATGTAGATATTTACACAGTATGCAAGTAATTTTTCAGAAAATCAAATTGTAATAATCTAACCATCAACTAGAGCTCTGTTCATGCCACTACTTTGTATATGACAAATTCTGGTAGTTTGTCCATATATGGATGTGATAACACACAAATTTGTCAGAACTTGGTGGAGTGAAGTTGAATATCTTTGTGGCTTGGTCCTGGGTTGAAACAGTGTCATAGTCAAATAATCATGGACAAACGATAAAATTGTTGCTCTACGACGATTTTAATGCTTTTCCATGATTATGACGTCATCTGATTTGATTTGTCAAAATATGTTGTTATCGCATAACTGATAAATCGTTATCGAATCATTCTAGTGTAAAATCTTCTCTTATTTCTTTTATTTTCTATATGAACTATTGCTTTTTAACTTTTTTTTATCATTATCGTTATCGTTGAAGTATAAACAGGCCTTAAGAGAGGATTTAAAAAAAAAATTAAATTCATATTGTGTTTACAAGCATATAACACAATATCTACACATTAATATTTTATATGCCAACATTTTCTTTAATCTGCGGAAATGAAATAATTATGATTTACTAGTATTATAAAAAAATAATTTAAATGAAATGATTATGACTTACTAGTGTTATGAAAAATTAATTTAATCATAAATTTCACATACTTCCCCTGTCGAAACTATCGAATTTGATATGACAAAAACATGAGACATACCTAAATATGGTCATGATGACATCACATCATGACCATATATAGGAACATCATGACAATATATGTGAGGTCTCACCACGAAATGAGACGCATCATTGGTGAAATCATATTGAGATATTCACCAAAACAGGCCAAAGTCAACATTTTTACAAAATTTTGATTTTAATGTTTTCGAATAACTTGATACTTATATTTTATGATTGTATACTTTGTAAGTAAATTTTCTTTCCAAAACAGTGTTCTCTGTACATGTTCAGTAATTCTAGTCATATAATTTGTACAGGTTAGTTTATCTTTGAGGTTGATTTCCACAAAACGTGGTTCTTATACTGTACATCTAAGCTTTAAATGCTCACATTTCTGGATTTACTTATAGTAGGGAAACCATTCAAAGACCAAATGAAAGCTTATAATGTGATCTACCCAAATATAATATAAACTCAATTTTTGAATTTCTAACCATGAGACTCATTTTGTGGTGAGACCTCACATATAGGCACATCATGACTATATATGGTCATACATCAGTTTCTGTTAATGAAAATATTTTAAGCAGAGCTTCAGAATAAATTTTCAGTTTTATGTATTATGTAATTTTAACTGTTTTTTTTGTTTTTTTGTTTTTAATATTTGTTTAGGTTGCACATGTACGAGCTGAACGAGACATATTAGTAGAGGCTGACAATCCCTGGGTGGTGAAAATGTATTACTCATTCCAAGACCCGAACAACTTGTATTTAATAATGGAATTTCTACCTGGAGGTGAGCCATTATTTTGATGAATAGTTAAGGTTTTTCAAGATGAGTAATGGTTGAAATTCAGGAAGATAAACAATGCCTAACACATTGCTATGCTCACCCATTTAATATAACGCTATTTTGATGATGAATAGGTGATTTTTTGTAGATAAATATATCTCTTAAAATCCAGAAAGATAAAAGTGCATAACACATGTTCGCTTATTTGAAATAATACGGTACTGCCTCATGTATATAGTCCCATCCTAGATATACGCCTGCTCGCCTTTAAGAATTATTTTTATTCAAAATGGTCCACCTGAGTACAAGACCACCCCCTGACTTCAAAATAATTTACACTGTCTGTACCTCAGATAACAATTCTGAAAGCTTACTGAACTAATCATGAATTTAGCATGAAAATGCTATATATGCCAAGCTTTAGCCTATGTAGGTTCAAGGCTTCCTTTGTGATACTGGCCTAAAGCCCTAGGCTGATCTGTTGTGCTAGTGGTTCCTGGTTTTAATCCAACCAACTTCAGTCCCAACCTCTCCCTTCCTTCATGTTCAAGGGAAACTGGTAATAATGTGCAGAAAAATAATGTCATGTAGATTATAAAGTCATCAACTCAAGCCATGTAACCAAAATAGGTGAAATCTATAACTAGCTTCACAATTCCACAATGTCATGGAAACCTAATTTTATACTTTACTCAAAATAAGCCAGAGCCACTGGCGATTTAAGTGTGTGTTTACTGACAATCAAATCAGATCAAAGGAATCTAGTTTTTGCTAATTAAATACAGACTTTTACTATATCAATTACGTCATGCAAAGGAAAATAGGAATGGCGTTATCTGTGTCAGTTAAATGGAATTAAAATGTTCACATTATTACCATAGTTCCTTGGGTGTAGTAAGTCCACCCCGCCCAGACTGTCATTTCAATGAGTAGCTGCCTTAGTTGACTTTTATAAGTACACTAAACAAGTTCTTGTGATCTCGAAAGCTCCAATGAGGTATAATGGAGGTAGTAGAGCTAAAAAAGATCTATTAATCAATCAACTATTAATCAATAATAATAATTTTATTCACTTATATTGCGCAAATTCCATAAAAATATGTTCAAATGATGCATTACAGAATAAAAATGTCAATTAAAATAGATTAAAATTGACAATTCGATAGAGTAAAACCATTAAAATTCCATAAAAATATGATCAAAAGACGTATTACACAAAATTATAAAGTCAATTAAATTGGATTAAAAATTTACAATTCAATATTACAGTAAAAACCATTAAAATTGACAAGTACAGGAAGTACAGTAGTAAATTATGTGTTAAAAGCAATAGTGAAAAAAAAAATATGTTTTCAACATTGTTTTAAAAATCTCTTGGCTACCGGTTTTCCTAATAAAAGGTCCACAGCTAGGTACTGCATATTCAAATGCACAGTCACCTAGTGTGACTTTAAGTACGACAAACTGGATGACTTAAGATTGTGTCATCATTGCTATGGAGACTATAACGAGAACGAGGTTTCTCAATCAATCAATCAGCCCATGCAGTGTTTCAAGAGCTCCTCATGAGGGCAAAATATTTTAATCAATCAACTAATAATCAATCAGCCTCGTGTGGGCAGTATAAAGCTAAAAAAGATCTATTAATCAATCAGCCAAGTGTATCTAGAGCTCTTCATTGGAGCTAAAAATTTGAATATTGGCACTGAATTAGCCATGGTATAAGCCAACCTCCCCCCCCCCTCCCTCCAACAAAAAAAAAATGGCCCAATTTTGTGTTCAAGTGGATGTGCTTATTCGCTTATTCTACTCCCCTCCCCCACTCCCCGCCCTCTCCCGCCAACAAAAAAAAATGACCCAATTTTGTGTTCAGGTGGGTGGACTTATACCAGAGGAACTACTGAATTAATTTTCAATTTAAAGCTTATAATTCATTCTAAGCACGCAAATTCAAATATTGATTTTTGGTTTCTTGAGCTCAACACTACAGTACATCTTTAATGGTATTCCAGGATATTGTGGTAATCAATGTAATATTTATCTCTAAATACCTCTCTCTTGTTTCTAAATTACCTACTAGTTAAGTTTTGAATTATCATCGCAACTGTCATCTTTAACTCCCATCAATCTCATGTTTCTAAATTAATTGACCTTTTTGAAATTCCTGAATAGTAGTTCTAATTATTGAAACCAAAATCTAAAACCATTCTTAGAGATATATTTCATTATTATTATTATACATTCTATAATTATTCAAATAAGATATAAAGAAATAATGTAGTGTTCATTAAAAAAATAATTAATATTATCTAAAATTTCTGTATGAATATAATTAAGGTAAATGAAAATACCTAATAGACACTTAAATGTGAATTTAAAACTTGCAAGAAACAATTAAAACAAATGAGTTGTAATATCATATCCATTTAAAAAATATGTTTTTTAAATGAAAAATATGCCTACTAGAAGATTGCAATATTTTATGTAATGGCTTGGCATTGGTAAAATCCCCCAATACACATATCGGGCTAGTTTCACTATTGAATATAACTTTGATTTAAACCTCTGTGCCTTGTTGGTACTGGTGCCTATCCTGCAATACCAGGGTTATTGGTTCACTCCCATGATTGTTCCACCATTAAAGAAACTCCTATGATAAAGCTTCATCTTTAATGAAACCTAATTTACAGATCAGCAATTTTAATAACGATGATTGCAACATTGTAATTTAATTGAATCTACAAGATGAAGTCCAGACTATCGTATTTCATATGACAAAAACATGTGACATGCCTATATATGGTCATGATGACATCACATCATAACAATATATAGGTACATTATGACTATATATGGGCATGCAACAGTGTTTTGCCAAAGAAAATTTGATTATCTGGACAGAGATTTATAATGTGTATCTTTTTACATTTTTTTCTTGTAGGTGATATGATGACGCTACTCATAAAGAGGGACACTCTATCCGAAGAGTGCACTCAGTTTTGTATAGCCGAAACAATCCTAGCGATTCACTCCATTCACAAATTAGATTTTATACACAGGGATATCAAGCCAGACAACCTTCTCATTGATATTACGGTTAGATTACAAGTTTCATTTATATTTTGTAGTAGCATTAACCCCCTGCAACCCCCTCTCCACCAAGCTATGGAAGCTACTCTTACAACTTGTACTATTGTGGCAGATTCAGTGGGAATCTCAAATCAAATTCCAGTATTTGTTATAAATTTGCAATTAAATAGTTCTAAAAACAATATAGGCCTACTGCCAATATGTATATTTTGATTTTAATGGAATATTGATAGAATAATCTTAAATCAAAATATGCTATAAATGTATATTTTGTTTTAAGATTATTCCATCAATATTATTGATTATGATGCCAGCATGCCAATGGCATGTTGCTCATGAATATTCATAAATGGGCATTGCTACAGGTATTATTGCTTTGAAGCAAGATTTTATGGAATTGTGTGGATTTCAGCTTCCATTAAAGATCATGGGTTCGATCCAGAGGCTGTCCACTTGTTTTTATCATTGGGCAAGCCACTTTACTCATTTTGTCTTTGTCCCATTGGCATGGGTGGGGGGTCATTGGGCAAATTTTTTCCTCCTCCCAAGTTGGGACCTGTGCCACAATGAGATCATCATCAGACTAAAAATAATAATTTGTTGATCCAAACAAAATTAGTGTGATTGCCAGTCTCACAATTTTGGGCAATCCTAATCCACAAAATCTTTCCCCATGTACCTCACCAGGGATTTTATTCTGGGCCCCTGACCATGGATTTTATCCTGGGCCCCTGACCTAGGTTTTATGCAACTCCTTGGTTTTGACCCCCTGTGGGCATGTTTCTGGAGACACCACTGCTCTGTCCACCCGGGAGTAAAAGTAAATACCTGGTTACTTTGAATACCAAGCCACTATTGGCTGCAACATTATAAGATATGTGTTCGTAGACCTTCCATCATAATTAAAATATTGAAATTATATGCTTGAAGGCCTATGAGGCTCTATATTAAGCTCTGTAATAACTATCAAATTATATATGTAACTCTGATTTGGCCATATGGGTATTATATCATGTCCATATATGGATGCTGTATTATGTCCATATATGTGTGCTTATATCATGTCCATGGACAGATCACAGATACTATATTTGTTACATAAAGCTCAGTATGCCCATATATGGGTGCTGTATCATCATGTCCATTTATGTGTGCTCAACCAATGACAGATCATAGGTATTTGTTGCATACAACTCTTCATGCCCATATATGGGTGCTATATAATAATTTCAATCCATATATGTATGCTTGTCCATATTATTATGTACAGATCACAGATATTTGTTACATAAAACTTGCTAGTAAAGAGCATAAAACATTTAAATTTTATATGTTTATTCAAAAAGATTTTTGTGATTGGCTGTTACTGTGTTAACTTGGACTTCGTCAGTATATCTCCACTTAAATATCAACCGTTATTTTCTTGTCTTTGCAGGGTCATATTAAGTTGTCAGACTTCGGACTGTGCACAGGTTTAAAAAAGGCTCATAGAACAGAATTTTATCGAGATTTATCTCGAGCGAATCCACGTGAACTAAGTAAGCAAAACATTTTTAATGTTTAAAAATGATAAAAGACAGAACATTAAGTCATTTAATTGAGCAATTAATATGACATTAGGAGGAACCATGTCTGAAATTCAACTGAACAAGGAAGTTTTTATCATAATTCAAATGTGGCACAAATTAAAACAGTAATGTTTGATTAGCAAACACTGCCCATATGTTTTGTGATCGTGTGCAGTAGAGGCATAGGTAAGGGCCTACTGCAGATTAAAATGACGTCTGCTAAATGTGCATAATATGTGCTTTAAATTATATCATATTTTTTCATCTGAAGATAACATTGGGGAAATGAATCTCTGGGGGGTGGGCTTGTGACCGGGAATCTAATTTTTAATCAAATGGCATTTTTTTTTGGCACTGTATACCTAATTCAAAGCCATAAGTTTATGTTTTGTTTTTTTTTTGATAATACAGTATTTTTAAAATCGTACCCTGGGCTTTTGCCCGAGGAAAGCTGGTATATAAAATTTGGCATAAATTAGAGGGTGGGCTTATAATTGAGATGGGCTTGTACCCAAGAAATTACAGTATTACATACGCAATGGTAGTTTACTTAGTGGTTAAAGTTCTTGTTTTATTGTCTTAGGTCCTGGGTTTAATCTTATTGCAAGATATTTTCTCACATCCAAAAAAACCAACTCTGTTTTAACCAATAATGTACATGATATCGAATGTCAAAAAAATAACACATTACAATCATATATTTGCATAATTATTTTGAATATTCATTACTTATTCATGCATATTAATGATTAGTGATACATCTTTTATAAATATTTGCATACTCAAGAACCTTAATTGATTACTCATGTTGTTTGTTTAATGTTTGCAGCTGTGCAACCAAATAAACCATTAGATTCAAAGAGGAAGATGGAGACGTGGAAGAGGAATCGCCGAGCATTGGTAATCTTTAGATTATTATTCTCATTAAAACGTTATAAAGCTCTGTCTAGATTGTCAAATGTTCTGTCTAATTGTACTCATTCTATAGGGGGTGAATGATTTCTTATGTGGCAAGGGAATCGGATGTCTTGCATGTACATTTACACGTGTTATGATAAGTGATTGATGCCTTGCACGTACTTGTCCACGTGCAATGAGGGCTGATGGTTATCTTGCGTGTACGTGTGCAACAGTTGGTGGTGGGTGGGTGGGTTTATTTTATCGGAACTAAAGAAGATTGCATGGAGCATGTTAAGAGTAAGTGTATAAATTCAACACTATCAAATTTGTTGCTGTATGCCCATATATAGTCATGATGTGCCTATATATGGTTATGATGTGATGTAATCATGACCATATTTGGGCATGTCACATGTTTATGTCAAACAGATTTTGATAGTATAGACTTGCTTTAGAACAGAGGTATGTAGCTTACAATATGTACAACAAGGAACACAAAATATAGAATACAACTCCAAGTACTCTATAAAACTATATATATTACAAATATCTGTAATTTTCCCATATATAGGTATTATATCATCATGCCCATATATGGATACTATATCATGTCCATATATGTGTGCTATATCATCATGTCCATGACCAGATTACAGATACTGTATAATACATGAAACTCATACCCATATATGGATGTTATATCATGTCCATAAACAGATCACAGATACTGTATAATACATGAAACTCATGCCCATATATGGATGCTATATCATCATGTCCATATATGTGTGCTCTATCATCATGCCCATTTGGACAGATCAGATATTTGTTACTTAAAACTCATAATACCCATATATGGATACCTTATTATGTCCATCCATATATGTGTGCTCTGTCATCATGTCCGTATGTGGACAGATCACTTGATTGTTAGATAAAACTCATCATGCTTATATATGGGTGCTATATCATCATGTCCAAAATACAATGTGATAGTCTAGATAGGACTTTAGAACAAAGAGGTATGCAGCCTACAATACATAAAACAAGAAACACAAAATACACAATAGAACTTGATGCACTCTATAAAATTAAATATTGGCCTTTAATGAATTTTGACCAAGATGAAAAAAACACATTTAATTTGGCTAAATTGTATGTTGTTCACACTTGGATTAGCATACACAATGTTTTTTTTTCCAAGGCTAAATTCTAATTATCATGTGCCAACCATACCGTACATTCAAATGTACATGATTACAATTTCAAAACTGATGAGCGCATGAAGTTCCTGATGAAATTTGTCAATTCACATAATACAGCTATTCAGCCTATTTTCATGGTGGAAAACACTGTAGTTATTTTCTCTGGGTTTGATTCTCTGGGTTGAACAGTTAGGTAATTTTACCAAGGAGAATGTTTTAGGGGCTTGTTCACACTGGATATTTTTGGTCAAGCTGATCAGGTGAATGGAAAGTTTGACCAAAAACAGCCATGTCTGAACAGGTTTTAGCTTTAGACATTATCAGATATTTTGTTGTCTATCAGACCCAAGAGTGTTTAGTTTAACTTTGGTATTGTGGAGCATTGTTTGGCATTGTTTGACTTCAAACAAACACGGAAAGCCTTGCTTTGTTTGATCAGATATGTCTGTAAATGTCTGTCCAAACTATTAATTTTATATGACAAATTTGTGTGATGGTTTGTTGTTTTTTTAAACCATATTTATATAGGGTGTATATATTTGCATGATGATGTCATATTACAACTAAATATGGGCATATCACAGTTTGTTGTCACACAAAATTTTTAGTGGCAAAGCTTAGCAAGCACACTATCAGACAGAATCTGATCAGATATTGATAAATCTGACAAACAAAATTATAAAGTGTAGACCTGCTTTAGACAAGCTAAAAATATTAGTAAAATTTAACAGACAATTTTCCCCATAGCTTGATAGATCACTATTATTTAATATGGTATAAATATATCTATATCACCTGTTGTTGATCCACCACAGGATAAAGGCCTTAGGATAATGTCGCCAAATGTCTGTTATTTTACTTATGTTGTCAGATTGGCTTTTGTAGTGCTAATCCAAGTCATTTTTAGTTTTATATGTACTGTAATGTAGGTAGAATTTTTTATTAGTGCTTTACAGCTAAGTCTCAAAGCACTTGAGGTGCCGAACTAGCTCGTACAATAAATTGCTTCTCCACTAAGCGTCTCTTCGTGTCTGAGCCAGCCGGTAAACTGGTACCAGTTACTCTCGTCTGTCCACAACAGGGGTAGTATGCACCAGTACACCGGGGAAACCCCCTATTCGTCTCAAAACGTGTACTGGGTTATTTAAAGTGCACATGAGCCAAATTTTGTACACTGGGCCTACAGTTTATAGTCTTTATCCGAGAAGACTTGTTCCACCACCAGAACCATAGACGAGTGAGCGGTTTAAACCAGACAGATACTATGGCTGTACATTGCGATGTCCCCGTCTTACTGTTCAGCTGTTCTAATCTCAGCCATTCAAATATGTACTGTATATATTATACATTTTTTCAAGTATGTTAAGTTTCTATGATGTTCTCTTTCACCAGGCATATTCAACGGTAGGTACACCGGATTACATCGCTCCGGAGGTGTTTCTTCAGACTGGTTATACGCAGGCGTGTGATTGGTGGTCGCTAGGTGTTATTATGTACGAGATGTTAATAGGATTCCCGCCATTCTGTTCTGAGTCGCCTCAAGAAACCTACCATAAAGTAATGAACTGGAAGGATACGCTGGTCTTCCCGCCAGAAAATCCAATTTCAGCCGAGGCGAAAGATCTGATTTTGAGGTTAGTTTATTCTCATAGCCATTAAAGGGCTCCCTGTAAAGAATGCATATTGTAGTTGCATGTAAAAAAGTCCTTTTAATAGGTCAGAAGGGATGTCTAGGTGTAAGCGATGCTTTCTACATCACAGCCAATAACAGGCTGCATATATGAGGATCTTTACATTTCAAAAGGAACATAGGTACGGCAAAAATGAATTATGACACGTAAAGGAGCTACTTTAACTCATAGTTCATACTAGCCTCTTCCTAACGCAAATACAACATGCCATATTGTCAAGTCAAGTGGTGTTATTCATTCCCGTCCTGTATAAAAGGACTAGACTAAATCCTTTGCGAGCCACTGGGGCTCATAGGGCTGGAGCTTATCCCAAGTTTTTGTAGTGTGAAGCGGATGAGAGTTGTACTCCCCTGGACGGGACACTAGTCCGTCGCAGGTTAGTCCCAGCAGTTTGCTGGTACCCATTGATACAGCTGGGTGGACTGAAGCAATGTAGCTAAAGTGCCTTGCCCAAGGACACAAGCGAATCTGCACAGCGGAGATTCAAAATCCCAACCTTATGATTGAAAGCCCAAACCTCAACCGCTGTGCCAAACTGCCTCTAAAAGGCTTAGCTACATCATAATTCGAGTTGGGCATCTACCGTTAGCTAATGGTAAAACATACACATTTTACTGCACATTTGATTCAAGTGGTCGCCAGTGAAAACCAGCTGCACTGTAACTGACGTAAGTGTAGTGTTTTGTGTGATTACATCAAGCTGCTTCTAAATTTCTCTATTGTTATATGAAATTTTGTTAAACATAAACTAGATATGAATTTTTTTATGGTACAATATTTCTATTAAGAAATTTTTTTATGAATGACCATTGCCTTCCACAAAACAGAGATTTGATTTTAAAATGTTTTTTTTTCTTTTTTTTTTTTTTACAATTTTTCGTAGGTTATGCTGCGAAGCAGACCGACGTATTGGGAAGAATGGAGTCGCTGAAATCAAGGCGCATCCATTTTTTGAAGGGGTTGACTGGGAACACATCCGAGAACGACCCTCACCTATTGCAATCGATGTCAAAGGTCTTGACGATACATCAAATTTTGATAGCTTTCCAGATATTGAAATCAAACCAAGTGAGTGTCGGTTTATGGTTGTTTGGTAATGGTGCTCCAGGGTCATGTATTCAACCCTTGCAAATGCCATTTTGTTTAGAGAGCACCAAACATTGTTACTAGCAGGTTCCTTAATCCTGATGGCGTTTTTGCATGAGAAGAAATAAAACTAAGTCATGTTTGCCCTACCTGACGTGTGAATGCTCAGTACATTGCCAAATACTTGCGAAAAAACATCTCGCAAGTGATTTGGGTATGAATCGAACCCACGACCTTGAGGTAACTAGCCTGATGTCTTAACCACTAGACCTGATCTAGCGCTTGGTGGCTAGTGATAAATCTGATCCCCAAGTAGCAGCGGGTCGGCAGTGTTATTCTGATGGCGTTTTGCTACCACTGCTACTAGGGGATCGGATTCATCACTAGGCACAAAGCGCAAGCTTAGTGGTGTAGTGGTTAAGACATCAGGCTAGTTACCTGGATGTCGTGGGTTCGATTCCCACCCGAATCACTTACGAGAAGTTTTTTCGTAAGTATTTGGGAACGTACCAAGCATTCAGTACTTATATCACACGTCAGGTGGGGCAAACATCTGTTCGTATAAGTTCCTTAATGTTAGATTTGAAGGAAATTTATATATAAACAAAAATCTCAATTTTGGTCACCGCCACTATCAATATCCCTGTCATTACCATCGTTGTCACCATCATTATAATATCATAACCATTACTACTACCTCATTTATCATAGTCATGATGATCACAATGTCATCATCAACATCACAGTCATCTCCTATATGATAATCATCATCATAACAATGTCATCATCGTCATAGGCAACAAGCTATACAAGTTTCATCATCACAGTGCCATCAACATCATCACCACAATCTTCATAAGCAACATCATGATATCATTGGCATCATCATCATCACCACCATTATTATCGTTGTCAACATAGCATCATCATCTTTGTCAATCATCATCATCAGCACTGCATGTTTAAAATTAATTTATCATTATATTAAACATCACTGCTCATATTATCATTATCAGCATCATTATCATCATCACCACCACCATTATCATCATCACCACCACCATCATCATCATCATCATTCCCACCATCATAGTCATCATAACTTCATCGTCATCATTATCATCGTCATCATCACCAACATCATTATGTTTCAAATTACTCTACCGTTACATTAAACATCACTGTTCTCTTGATATCTTTTTTCTACGTACTTTAAAAATAAAATGAAATAAGAGAAATAATTATAATGAAATATAATCATCTTTTTCTTTCATTATAGTTGCACCTGTTCATAAGGAAGGCGATAACTACAAAGACTGGGTGTTTATCAATTACACTTTCAAACGCTTCGAGGGCCTAACTCAACGAGGAGCGCAGCGCTCCACTCACCCTAAAATGCTGGCTAGTATCGCCTCCCACAATAACTTCAGGTAGACGCCAGTCAGTCACTGACCGAACCACAGTGTACTTAAGAGATGAGGTTTTATTCTAGCGTAAAAAATTTATTTAAATAAAAACTTACAATGATTCTCATTCTGAAAGTTATTAGTTTGTAGAGGAAAGAACTAAAGATAAGACAACATTTTGTGGTGTATTGGGTGTTAATGTGCTAGGAGAGTTATATCTTAGATATTATATGTGCATGTGTTTAAATGGAAAAAACATCTTGTGTGTGCACAGGAGGGATGATGATGTATATGTGCACGTGTGCTAGGAAGGGAACCACATGTCTTGCGTGTACATTTAGTGTGAGGGGGGTAATGAATGTGATCTTGCCTCTAGTTGTACGCATTCTATAGGGGGGTGAATAATTTCTTATGTGTACATACTTTAAGGCAGGGGAATCGGATGTCTTGCACGTACATTTACACGTGTTATGATAAGTTATTGATGCCTTGCACGTACGTGTCCACGTGCAATGGAACTGATGGTTACCTTGCGTGTATGTGTGCAACATTTGGTGGTGGGTGGGTTAATTTTATCGGAACTAAAGAAGATTGCATGGAGCATGTTAAGATTAAGTGTATAAGGTCTAGTCAACACTATCAAATTTGTTGCTGTATGCCCATATATAGTCATGATTTTCCTATATATGGTTATGATGTGATGTCATCATGACCATATTTGGGCATGTCACATGTCAAATAAAATTTGAGTCTCGACAGTGCCAAGCAGGGAATATAGCTATATGCAGTATATATATATATATATATATATTGATGGAAGTGATTGAATTCCTCTCAGACTGAATTTGTCTATGCAAGTCATGTGGATGGAAATTGAAGTTTCTGATTGGTTGACTGCAATCATTCCTCTTAACTATTCAATGCAAAGTTATAAGATGATCGTTTGTCGTTCTTTTGTTGTTTTTTTTAGGCTGTATCAGCTTAGGTTTATGGAGGTATATCAATTTGGCAATTACTGTATTAGAATTCATGCTTTTGATGTGTGAGCTGTTATACAATATCATTCTTTTTTTCATGTTAGGTCAAAGAATATTGTGTACAATGATAACCCTTTGCAGGCTAAAATGCTTATTGGCTTTGGATATGTTCTTTAACAGAAATTTGAATAATGCGTGTTTAAGGACATTGTTGGCTGCTGTTCTCAGAATCATTGTGTTCACATGTGATCACTTTATGGAATTTTATTATTAACATTATCATGATTTGCATCTTTATTAAACATTATCTACTCATCTTTACAATTCCTTTTTGTCACCATCATCATCATCGTTATCATCATCATAATCATTGCTATCATTATCATAATCATGCTTATCATCATCATCATCCTTCCATACAACCACAATGTCAATATTCATACATAGAGTAATTTAATTATATAATAACTTGTCCATTTGGAGTGTCTATAGACAAGATATGTGTTGACACTTGTGTGGTGAGGTCCTTTAGCACCTCAGCCCATCTACTGGGTCACATTAAGTAGGGATTACCTATATTGCAAGAATGCATGACAATGATTTACAGTGTCCCAATCTTGTTTTCTAAATATCACCTGATGGGTTAGTCACATGATCTCTGCATATGAGTTAGTCACATGATCTCTGAATATGGATAAGTCACATGATCTCTGAATAAGGTTAGTCACATGATCAGAAGCATATCCTGCCTTAATATCCTCATCTGCTTAATTTGTTTTTGTTGCCAAAGAAAAAAAACTTCAAAAAAGTTTAAACACAATATATATGTATATAAATATAGAAAAAGTAAAAATAAAGTGTATTTTTGGCAATTTATCGTGATTTAAGTAACGGTGTGGTTATGCCTTGCAGTGTCTTCCCAGGCTTGCTCTAAATTCTAGGTGGAAGGAGGGAGGGAAGTAAGGAAGGGAAGGTTGGATAAGAGGGAAGAGAAATAGGATAGGATAGAGTGAAAAATCCTTTCATTGTTGATACCTAACCCTCCCATAGTCTATGCATGTTTGTTATTGTTGTAGCAGTTTAGTGGCCTTATTTCAGCTCATTCACTCCAGCCTTTATATTATTATCTGGTTTAGCAATCCTTGACAGTTACTCACCTGCAATTTCAAACCTTACAATGCTATCAGATTTTGAGTATTAGTATGACAGTGTAGTTAAAAATCCCATGGACAAGAATATGTAAATATTGATGGCTACCAGTATGTATGGTATGAAACAGCAATAAATATAGATTGTGAGAGTGTTAAAGGAAATCCAGTGATAGGTTAATATACTCGCTCTGCTATGATTTTCTTCCTAAGAGAAAACAACAAAGCAGTTAGCGGTGTTCTAAAGCCTCTGTGGATATTGTGATATATCCCAAACATAATAATTTGACTATTCTCTGAATTTACTGAATGGCGTTTGTTAGTGGATTTAAACTTGAGAGAGATTTCAGGGATTGCGAGACTGTGCTCAGGGGTATATGATTATTTTACAGACATTATGATTCAGAGATATGAATATTTTTTTGACTCGATGTGTGAACTGTGATACTTCATATAGGCAGCTTAAAAAAATCCTTTGATTTAAAAGCTTTGTAGAATTTGAGCATGACTGTTGGTTATGAATCACCAAGTCCATTTTCACACTCATCCACATGGTATCAATTATATTAATGTGTTTTTTTTTGTTTTTTTTTCATTTTTCATGTTCATCATCTGCAAAACACATTTTCTGACTATGAGGATGTTAGTATAGAATCTTGGTTATGTAGCTCAGTTGGTAGAACAACCAGACATCAATTGTGTAATAGGTACAAATAAACATTTTGTTTCTTTTGAAGGAGGCGACCCTTCCAGATAGGCAGATGTATAAAACAATTGAAGCCTAAGATAATCTACAGATTTTTTTTCCAGATTTTACAGTATTTGACCAGCAGTGTCTAACTTTCAGTACATTGAAAAATGCAATTTGTTTGATGAGCGATGTATGAAACAACATACACTGTCAATGTCTGATCAGACTTAAAGTGAATGCTTGTTACAGAGATATCTATTCAAACAAATAATCCAATGTCTGATATTAGTTGGGCAATGCTTTGTTTTGTCAGGTATTATCTGATCAAACATTATTAAATCTGGCAAAATCTTTCTGAGCAGACATTTTTGTACATTACAGACACAATATTTGATCAAATTTAAGTGTATGCTTGTTTAACAGACATATCTGTTCAAACAAATAATCCGATGGCCATCTTTCCATGCTATGTTTATCAGGCAATATCTTATCAAACATTATTCAATCTGACAAACAAAATCTGATAGTGTATTCCAGGCTTAAGAGAACTTAAAAACATAACATTATTCTCCTCAAACAAAGCTTTTATTTAACATCTCATGTGAATATATCTTGTTTCAATTTGACCCTTGCTTAGCATATTAGGTATATACATTTATAAATATATATATATATAATAAAATTAAGGATAACATGTGTACATAGAGACGATACTAAATACTAGATATGAAATACAACTCGGGCTGTTCTTGTTTGTTTCAATATCTTTCATATAACCTAGATTGTTGAAATTTGTTGTCTTTGAAGTTACAATTATGTAAAGCACCTCATCTCCTTGAATCGGTATATAAAGCAAAAAATTACTTGGTTACAATAATTCAATTTATGTTAACAGTGTGGTATGTGTACAAATATGTAAATCTATAAAATACTTGCAAAGTGTGTTCATAACCCAGAATAAGAAATAGTTTTAAATATCTTGGATTTTTGTTACATTTTTTTGTTGTTTTTTTAATTGGTGTCAAGCAGTTATCCATAACAAGTGCAAATGATCTGAGATTTTTATTTTGAACTTATATATTGTTAAGAACAAGATATCTGATCACCAATGTTGTATCAACTTCCGTATCTTTATATCTCTTTGTTGATTTCCTGCCAAAGATTGGTGTTAAGTTTGCTTACATTACTGGTTTGAATTCCTTGAATGAGCTCTATTTTTAGTCTGGTTTCTTATGAAAGGGATGTGATTGGTGGAAAGCCAATATCTAATGAGGATCCCAGAATCGTCAATAGAGAAGTGACGTGAATTTAAAAGAAACAGTTTACCCGGTACTACAAAGTCTTCAGATTATAACAATAGTCATTTTTCCAAGTTTACATATTCACGTGCACAGTACACATATTATGTACGATGCACGCAAAAGCGAATTTAGATCAGCTACCAGCCTCGTGCGAAAAAAAGCAGAACCCACTGAAGCACTAGTGTAGCTTCTGCGTTGCAAACCTGTGAGCAAAATAAGTTGGTCTGCATGCAAAATAACAGCCAATCAATGAAGGCATATTCATGATGTTTTCTTTTATAACATAAAATTATAAATATGGATGCTAAAATTAATCATGTCAACCTGTGGCGTTGCCACATTTATATAGATAAATTGTTGGCTGGTTGAGAGGTTATAGTTTAGAATATAAAGATGGGTACAAGATCAAAGACTGTCAGAGAAAGATGGTTCATTACAAATAAATGCAGAATTTATATCTTTTAATTAATTTTTTAAAAAATATTTCGGCCCTTGTGAGTTTAATTGTATTTTGGTTTGAGAGACTGAATTAACAAACACCAACTTCATTTTAATTATTATTAATAATAATAATTATGTAATGGCTATTCTTACACCATTTGTAAACCAATTCATTTTGTCATAGTGTATATAATTTTTTTTTCTTTGAGTTTAATGTGAACGTAACTACATCGTTATTCTTTTTAATTTAATTTCTAGTTTGAAAAATTTGATATTTTTATATTTGATTTATCTTCAGTGCTTGTACGTTAAGTACACAGAATGTGTTGTTTATTGATATTTCAATGTTGTACCATATCTACATTATATCATTCTAAATGATTAATAATTGTGATTGTCATCTGAAGGCGTGGCCTCTGCATCATCATCACATATCACTTCAACATTTATTCACAAGTTATTTAATATTTGTGAGATACAATAAGATGAGAAAATATTGTTATTGTCATTATTAATATATATGTATACTGTTTGAAACTATCATGTACACTTATAAAAATACATTACACTGTACTAATATGGCCATTAACATTTTTGGCACAGTTTTTCTCCTAAATTTAGTTTGAATTTTGAGTGGTATTTAAAATATTTCACTGTTTTGAACTTTTGCAATAGCATAAACATGTGATGTACTGTATAGTAATTAACTTGCTTGCACCAGGTATTGAAAACACATTTTGAAATTAGAATACAATGGAAGAAAAAAAAAACAACAAAAACTAGCACATGATGTGTTTCTATAGATACAAGTTTAGCATTTATGCACTGCTTTAATAGCCTACCTTAAACTGCTAGTACCAATATTTGACTGCTCTACATTTTACAACATGGCATGACCATTACTTCCCTACACAATTAAGCCATGATTAGTATGTTCTTATAGCACTGTACCCCCATTGTCATAATCCATATGGGTACATCCCTATAATAGCAAAGCTGCCAAAAAGGGGGTTACAATTTCTGGGTGGGGCAAAGGGTCCCCATTCGGTCTCTGGTTAAGGTATGTTTTCACGTGTTTTTTAATAACCGTTTAAAAACACGTGTTTTTTACTCAGCAGAAACATGCCCACCAACAAATGCCCTGGTGAGACAAACCTCCCCAGCACATAGAGAACTTGTGCAATTTTTAAGCAGTTCTAAGAGTAGTACAACCTGTGACAGGGAGCTTGTCCATCAGAGTGCGAGAGTCCCCTTCCCCTGCTGTTACTGCCACATTTTCCCAACCCCTTCCCTATACCACTTTACCGTACCACAGTGCTAAATTCTTGTACCCCAAGGCTACATCCCTATAACCAAAAATAATGTCCATTTACAAATGGTACCATGATTTATAAAGCTTACTATGGAAATAATTTGCAGGCGCTGCCATATTAGAAAACAATATAATTTGTAATTGATTTTATCGGGTTGTTTTACATAACTTTTGATATATGGTTTTCCTCTTATTATGTTTAGTTTTTGAGTAGGTGTAAAATTTGCACTTTAATTGACCTGATGTAGCTCGTTGTCCACTTGCAGATTGACCAGTGATTGTGAAGTGCACTGTGACTGTAGGTGGCGCCATATATCTTGTCTGTCAGATTCTCGTCAGATATGTCGTGCAATATTTAGGTTTGTAGGGGTGCTTATTAGATTTTAGAGATGCTTTGAAGATATTTGGACAGAAATTGTTCTTATTAAACTTAGTTCTTTTATTAATGATTTAATTCGCTTGTGAGAATAAATGCATTTGGAAATGTTTAACTGAAAAATAGGAGTTTTTTCCTCATTTAATATTTTATGATCTTGTTTTATGATCATGTTTTATGATCATGCTTTGTGATCATGTTTGCTTTCATTCTTAACAAATAGTGCTAATTTGTTTGGGGTTTTTGTTTCATAAAATATTAATTTTGATGCCAATTTTTTTTTTTGTTTTGCTACAAATTTAAGATTCACAAAAAAACACTTTATAAGAGAAGTTATGATGTGCATGTAAAGTTGCCAATTTGTGGAGATGCCTAATGAATAAATTATTCAAAAGTCGAGATTTATTGTCATTTGTCAAATTATTTTTCCGAAGTGTCAATTATTCATACAACTAACCATTCAGAACAAGCCAGGAGTACGTGCATGTCCTATAAACACATCTGTTGCAGTGGATAAACTACAATTTATTGGGAAGAAAAAAGATTTTGAGCAACATCCGACCACGCATGTTTTACGAAATTGTTTTGGGAGACCTTCGAACAATATCCAAGGTACATGGCTGGGGGAAGGTCCATCGTACTTCACAGTGTATCAAATAATGGGGAAAATTCAAAATATTTGTCATTGAATTATGGGGGAAAATTCAAAATATTTGTCATTGAATTGTGAATTTATAAGGATCAAATAAGTTCCAATATGACATAAATTCTTAAGTGGCCAGTTTGAGGATCTGTGCAGAATATATTTATGTATTTGGCTCAAAATCCCAAATTAGTAAATGGCCAGAGGAGTGCTAGGAGGACTCAAGATGTTGGTATCCTCTAAACACCCCTGGCCAAATAGATTATATAGATTAGTTTACACCACAGGTGGGCAAAGTGTGGCCCGACAGCGATTTATTTGCTGCCTGCGAAAATTAATTAAAAACCTTATGTGTGCAGCCCGTCAAGCAACACTGGCTAGAAAACACCTTGATTTTTACGGCCCGACACCGATCATATGTAAAAAGTAACATTAACTTGAGATTAAAGTGGTGTAAAAGCAGTGGTTAGAGGTTTTTGGAAGCTCACTGAAAACATCAAAGTTTGGGTGTGGCCCTCCGTTTGATTTGAACCTGGTTCATTTTGACCTCATGGTTTAGCGCCCAAAAAGTTTTTTTTTTTTAAAACATGAACAGGGCTTATTTGGATGAAGCTAATTTTGGATGCATGGTAAGCACCAAAAGTGTTAAAACATGAGTGTTTGGTTGATTTGAACCAAACTCGTCATGGTTCAGCACCCAATGTAGTTTAGAGCCACAAGAAGAACAGCTTGTTTGGTTTGAACCAGTTTCATAGGAACAAATGATTAAGAAACTTGAGTATAGTTTACACTATACAAAGCACAGCCATGATTGATTTTGACCAGTTTCATTACAACACATGTTTCAGCACCCAAAGAAACGCCTAAAGAAAGTCTTGGTGTTTAAAATACGACAATTTGACAAATCCCACATTTTTATGATCCAATGTGGTTAATAAGCATTGTTGGATAGTTTCCTTGTTTACTTCCACAGACGTAGTCTTTCATTTTTAAATTGTATTACCAAATGACCTTTGACATGGCTAGTGAAGTACAATACTTGTATTCAAATAGATTTGTCACACAATCAGGGGGTGTGTCTCCACAGCTTCCTGTCTCCGCATTCCAGCTTAAGCCCATATAAGTACTGATATCCATAATCCAGTTTATTAATATCTAATCATATGAAAAACAAGAATCACACAATAACATTTATTACATCTGTTAGTCTTTATTGATAATTATGTGTACATTGTACACTATAAAGATCATCTGAATAAAAACTAGATCAAATTTAAACTATACAAATATATACAAGAAATATAATTATTAATCAATAAACAACATTCAACTTTACTGAGGTAAAAGGTGGGTCGTTCTTTACTGTATTTAGAAAAAAAAAAATTGTGCATTTATACTACACGGCAGTTACACGGCAGTGTACACTATTACGCCTTAAAGTTGTAGCCAACTACTTATGAAAAAGAAAGCCAATTTATCGTGCTAAAATGCCCTTTATACGTGGAAACCATAATTTTGTTTCCTCTATTATTTCTCTGAATCCTCAATTTTTTTTAAACACATCATCTGTTATAAACATGAGATAACATGTGGTTAGGCTATATAAACACAATGGGAACGTACTGAGCATTCAGTATGACAACACATCATTCCAAAATACAATGTCATTGACATTTTGATTTGATTTAATTTCTTTATTATTAATAGGTCACCCTCCAATTAAACGCCACTCCTGGGACCGAGGTTTCTATGATCTTTAGCAGCTTTGGTCTCATAATTAGAATAATTAAGATAAAAGACATTTGTTAATTTGGGACCACAGAATAGTGGTCTTTGATTGGAGGTGGACTTTAATTGGAGGGGTCTTTAATTAGATAACTCAACAGTTGCATACATACAGACAAGACTAATGTAACAGGAAGAAATCACAGTATTTTATAGATTAAATATGAAATTGTATCCAAAATACAGTTTCTTTCTAATTAATGCCAACTCATTACATCTGTATATTACTGTAAATATTTATACTTCCTTTAGTAAACATTTAAGTACTGTACCCTCTAAATGTATGAACTATCCATAGTTTTTAACAATCTCTGAATTTAATCCATAATTCCATACAAAAAACATGAACTGTTAAATAGGTGAACCACCTGTTAAGTGAGTATAAATATTAAAATGCTTTAATATTACACATTAAAACAATTTTCATACACCATTTTCTCTTTGAAACCATTATATTAATTAAATGATAAACTATTTCCATCTCTAACTTTCCTTTATCTATTAAGAAATGTGTTTAGGTCTCATCTATTGTTTATAATCCAGAGACGGTTCCATATTAAAATTAAAAAAGAAATATTAATTGATAAACTTGTAGCTTTATATCATTCTGTAGGCCTAAGGCCCTCTACATGACTATTAAATTTTATGAAATGAACGTGTGACATGCCCAAATTTGGCCAGGATGACATCACATCATGACCATATATAGACACATCATGACTATATATAGGCACATCATGACTATATATGGGCATACAACAGGACAGGGCTTAAAGCTACACACAAAAACAACAAAAATGTTTAAAGCATAATAAAGAGTATGCAAACTACAATTAAAACAAAATCGGAAATTAAGAAATTTAACTTAAAGCAAGGAAATGACTGGCGAACTTTTAGGACTTGAGAAGACCATAGAGTTATAAGAATGTAGGAGTGCACTCTAATGCTGGCATTTGGAAGCTTGCAAAAATAACAAGTCCTTGTGGCAAAGCGCTGACGGTTGTTCGCTGATGTAATTCCATGAGGAATGCAGCGCAAAGTGGCGCGTGCAATGGATCGTCTTTAATGACCATTCGTTTAGACTACCACCGAGAATCGGCAAACAGCATTACATCATCAAGTATTCACAGACAGCAGAGTTTGATTTGACGCGTCCGATGGTGGTACACCCGTCGTGCGATGCTACAAGCGCCCAGCTAAACTCTGTCTACGATCATGGCCAATTTATGTTTCAGGATTCTACAACCTGCAGTTGCACCTGGCTCCGTGTGTGCACTCTATATTTTTCCCATGACTCTATGGTAGAGATAAAGGTTAGATCTGTGGAAACATCACCGTAGATTAGACCTATGAAAAACACATAACTTATCGACAATTCCCTATCAGAATCCTTTCTTTTGTGCATGAAAATCAAGGTAATACTGATTGAATGTCTTGCATTGCTCGTTGCATTACATTATCTTGTTCTAGCTTGTTTGATTCACCCGTAGGAGATGAAAGCTACGAAAACGAAAAACTAAAAGAACAATCCATTGAAAGCAAAAAGAGATCGCTACTACATAAAAAAAAAAAACTGCAAGTTCCAAACATATCATTACTTACATACAACCATACTGTACAACACATTAGCATTTTTCTGCAATGTTATTATTTAAAATTATATTATAAATTTTGAAATAAAATTTAAAATAATCTACAAGTTACCAGAATTATGATAATAGAAATATACGTAAATAAATCTCAGAATGCCGAGGAACAGTAGCATTTCCAAAGAAATAACCAACACTCTAATGATGGACAATTAAAAAAAAGAACATATTTCTTATATAATTTTTTTTTTTAAGTGTAGGCCACAATTATCATAATAGAAGAATATGTAAGTAATTCTCAAAAGGCTGAGGTAGCATTTCCAAGAAAAATAACCACTAACAATAACAACAGCCAAATAAAAAAGAGAATATGTTTCTCATATAATTTGTTTTTTAACACTAAAACAGCTATAGCACACAAATACTATTGCATATCTAGGGCTATACCAAGCCTAGACATAATATATACTTTACTACCAAACCATGCTATACTGTACTTAGTGTAACAAAGTTACACAACAGAGGCCCACAAACAGTGGAGGGGGGGGGGGGGGGGGGAGAATAAAAAACTTTCTTTTATATTTATTTGGCCTATATGCCTATAACAAGCTTCATTATAAACACCAACAATAAATATAAAATCACATAATGTAAATGTAAAATCAATAATAATTTGAATTGAAAAAATTAAATAATCAGAAATTCAACTTTAGTTTTGAATATACTGACTACAAAATATTTAATGCTATTTTTAATTATTGTTGAGTACTTAACAACCTAGACACAACAAATATCTCAAAATATATACAATTATTGTTGGTTAAAATTTATGCATTATATATTATACCTTCAACAAACAAGCACAAAATAGATTTTATTAAATAAAATAATATTTCATTCACCTTGCTTATAAATAAATGATCTTTTCATATATTTTTATTTGAAGCATAATCAACAGTTAACTTTTAGCGACGTGTTGCTGAACTTGTGTATCCGGTCTTTAGCATTACTCTGTAGCATAACTAATCTCCTTTCTACAGATACTATCATAGCATGTTTTCCAGTATAGCTCTGCTTGTTCTGCAAAATGGTTCCTTTGGTCATACAGTACTACCGTATATCTTTCTTTACTTGTTCTACTTGATAAATAACATAAAAATAAACAATTCATAAAGTACAGAAGTACAGTATTACAGTAAGAAAAAAAAATTATATATAATGTCATTCTTTTTACATAAGATTAAGCGTATTATAAGCTAACTTCCATTTTTCCAGGCACTGTTTCTGTTTTGAACTCTACCCACCACACACTTCCGTACTTGCTCTAACTTGACTCATTTCAAGCAAAACTTGGGAAGCTTATCTCTTTATAAGCTTTTTATCGCCACAACCTTGAGTGGCCAATTGTAAACCCTGTGTAATAGGAAAATGGGTATTAACAAACATTGGTTTAACTTTAGGATAGCAAAAACACAAAATTCCATGTGGATTTATATACCTTAAAAACTGTTATCATACCCTGGACTAAAAAAAATTGATAGCGATACGGATTTAATCCTTTTTTAACCGGACTAATGCCTAAACCTGACCCGATTACAAAATGACAATGCAAAGTGAAACATTTTTTAAATAAAGGTAGGCAACCATTTCGACATTCCTGACTACCAATGAGTTATTTTTTTAAGAATCGATTGTGAAATGGTAGACAAATTATTTCTGTTTTCAACTTGTGAGAGTTTACACTATCGATGGCAAGATAATAAATGCACCAAATATAGTTATCATTGCTACTATGAACTTTTATCAATTCTTTGATAAAAATATATCTGATAACTTGATAATTTAAGTGAGTCATTTCACAATCTATACAATATATATATATATATCTCTATACAATATATATTTATCATATAACTTGATAAAGGTATACGACCAAAAGATCTCATTGCATTGATTATTTTAAATATATTGTGGCAAATTACAGACTGTATTTCATAACATACATATATATCTGTCTCTTATACACATCTAGATGTGTATAAGAGACAGAGGTAATACTGATTGAATGTCTTGCATTGCTCGTTGCATTACATTATCTTGTTCTAGCTTGTTTGATTCACCTCACTCTACAACCTCATTATTCTGTACAGTATAGTGTGTCTCATATCATTTCCTCTACACACAAGATCTCAATAGTCTCTGTACATTGCAAACACAATCACTAAAAATTTAATATTAAAAAAAGAAATTTGGTAGACATTGATAAATCAAAATGGTTAAATACAAAACACATTCGTAATTTTATATTTATAACATGCAAGCGATAAGCATGCATAACAATGAGCATGTTCCATATAGGCCTACGATATGTATTATTCAGTGGGATTCTAATAGCAGCTATAGAAAAAATATTTCATTTAGAAAATAATAATTATGTAACAGAAAATTATAATAATTATTTATTTTAATTATCCATGCTTACTATCTATATTATTAACTTTAAAGTAATTTTTTTCTATCATCTGCAAAATTTATTACCATAAACTTTGACCACATCCCCCAATTTTTATTGTACTCTCCCTTCTATATGTATTTTAACACAAATAAATTATCAATTAAAAATATTGATGTATAAGTTAGTCCACTTTCTTGCCCCTGTCTGTTTTTAGAGCAACATTTTCTTCAGCTCGTGAAAGTTCCACAACGGACAATGCGAGACCGAGTTGAGCGGTGTAGTAAGTACCCATGATAATCTCCGTATTGTAAGGTACGGGATACCTAAACTTGTTAACTGCCAACACAAAGTCAGATATACAAAATAAAATCGCGCCGACAGTGGCGCAAATCTTGGTCCATGTCCACATCTTCTCAAAGACCTGTAACCGTGCGACTGCACGCCACGCCATGGTGATGATTAGAACGATGTATAAACCGGCGAGAAAGATCATCTCATTTTGTAAGCCGGGAAGCATAAAAAGGTATGTGAAAACTCCAAGGAACGAGCAGACACATAGGACTGACCACTTGACCGGCGATATTCCAAACGCTAATATATATGTAAGGTGAGCCATTGCGAAGAATATCAATCCATGGATAAAAAAGTTCTCGCAATATATTAGACACGCATCTCCGAAACACGAGAGAATAAGGCCAACAAGAATAAGTGACGAATAACGCTTTTTAATGGAGAAATAATACGACAGAACAAAGAAACACAAACTCACAATTGGTAGACACTTGAAGAAAATTCTGTATGGTGATGGCTCCCATTTTTGCGGCTGCAACGCAAAATACACAAATGAGCTGATGAGAAAGGGTAGAAGTTTTGGACCAACAGATCTCACCTAGAAAAAGAATAGTGTTTGCAGAAATTAAGTCTCAGTAACAATTTATTAAGTTAGAAAAACAATTGATGTTACGGTGGTATTTAGCGGCAGTGCCACAGATTCCATGACAAGGAGTCTAAGGTCCCACAGCAGCACACATCCATTTCAACCACACAACAGCGGTGCTAGGATTTCCGTGACAGCAGTGCAACACCCCCCACAGGCAGGGTAATAGTTGTACTTTGGCACGTAGCGGCATCTGAGGGACGTAGGCTGGAGCCGGGTATGGAACGGGTGTCCCCCCCTCCCCAATGAGAAAATTAAAAAAAATAATAAGCTGCTAGGGGCTCACACAGGGCCATTTGACCAAAGGATAGTGTTTTTTGACATATTTCATCAGTGTCCAAACTTAATTTATGTAGGCTTATCCAATCCAGGCCAAACAAACCCGATGTGGGGTGTATCCCCTCCTAGCACAGCAGTGGCAGATCCAGAAATTTTAAATAGGGGGTTAGGGGGGCCAGGGAGGTTCGAAATTTTATGCATATGGTATGGCCGGAAATGCCGCTCTTGTCAAAATGTTACTGATAAAATGATTGGCTTCTTTCGCTACAGGAGTCCTGCACCACTGTGGGCCCTCCACAGGTGCGGAATTATTAAGCATTCATATAAACATATAATTATATGAAATGTATTTATTAATACATACATATATTTACGTATACATACATATGTACTTTGAACATTATATAAGCCAAGTTAAATTATACAGTAACACCAAATAATAATTAATAAAAATAATATATGTGCTTCCACAGCTTTATTAGGACTTATTACAATCATTACAATAAATGTCAATTATCAGGTATATACTAGTAATGTATAGTTTTCAAAACATTTTTTATAACCCAAATCGTGTTCTGTGATAGAAGAAAACTCTTGTTTTGGGTATTCTATATTTTACATGACATTTTACATAAATGAAATATGAATTGAAATAGGCATGGTATATAGTACAGTTCTTATAAACTGAGTCATGTCAGTTTTGTTTCCTATACATCGGAATAAATAATTGTATTCTAAATACAGCAAAAGAGGTCGTGTCTTTTGTCCTTCAACGTAAACACAAACCACGACGGAGTTTACTATTTAATATTTTAGGTCTATAACCCAGCTGCGTGCCAAAAAAAAAAAAACAATCTAGATTTCATTGTGACAGCTCAAACATACGCACAAAGGAAAATACTTACCAAACGATTAGTCGTCATGATTTTAATAGTATATATTGTGTACAAAGGTAAAACAAGGTAAAAACTGTGTAATCTATAAATGAATATGTCTTCCTTACAACTGCGCAACAATGATTCTGCCGCCGTGAGCATGTGATAATGTTTACCATTGTCACTGTAACGTCATGGCGATTACGTCACAATCTGTCACATGACTGGTCTTTTACGGACTCTACCATTTTACAGTGTGGCAGCTTGTGGAAAAAAAATTGAAGAACATAAATAATATATTGCATAGGCCTATTTAGGTATATAAAGGCCAATCTTGTTTTTATTTTTAATTCGAGTGAAATAAGATTAAGGCGATTTTGGGCATTTTTATGACAAAATATGTGTTAAATAATTCTGCTGCAAACGTATCCCTCAGTCATTTAAAATGAAGGATAGTCTTATCGACCTACCCAATCGATTCATGAAACCTTTTTAGGTTTGAAGCCTATTCGTCTACCTGGTCAAATTAGAAGGTTCGTATACAAATAGGCCTACTGTAAAAAATGTTATTTGGTCTCTATTAAACAGTACAGTAACTGTGCATTAACGATTTTCTATCATTGAAAAATGTCACAGAGTAAAAAAAAACAAGATAAGAACATTTTGAGCCTGAAATTTTAAAAACAAAAAACACTGAATATAGCCTATAGGCAAAATTTTACTGATTCAACCTTATAAAAAAGAAAAAAAAAATACATCAGCCGAAGATTAGACAACAGACAGGGGCGGATTTAGTAAATCCACTAAACTTTTAAAATGTCAATGCAAATCAATGTTATGTGCTACTCACTTACCTAGAAACTGTTGTGCCCCCCGCCCCCTGTTTGAAAAATTCTGGATCCGCCACTGACATGGCTGACAGTTTGGACAGACGGTAAAAGAAACAGGACGACAACGGAAACGATGGAGAGCGGAAATTCAACAATATTGGGGATATGCCAAACAATTCGAGAGATCGAGACCTCTGGAATCGAGACGAGGCCTTCGTCCAGCAGTGGACAGACCACGGCTGACTATGACGATGATATCAAAAAAATGTATGAGACTGTTTAAAAAAGTCTCTTCCTGCTCTAAATACAAAAGATATAACTATTTCTTATTTATTTTTATTAGAACCTTTGCGTCGTTATGCCGACCAGTTGCGCACATGTATCTATAATGTACGGTATCCATGGTGCACTTACTATGCCATAGTGACGCGTGTGCGCTTGCCTGTCCATGTATTAGTTGCCGCTGCGTTTCTATAGTGTATCCATGGTAAACTAGGCCATATATACTCTAGTGACGCGTGTGTGTATATTGTATGCGTATGTATCCATAGTACGAGTGGCGCGCATGCATCCATAGCACCGGTGTAGTGTGATATAGCATTTTATAATTTTTTGCCTGTCTATCTCAATGCACGCTTGCACTCAAAGTGCGTTACGGACATTTTTCCTGTCCTGCTTTATACGTATATTAATGATATTAATAGTGTTTCATAAACATATGAATATATTATGCGCATAATGACGCAAAATTTGTAATATAATAGGCCTATTTGTATTTAGGTTTTCTTGTAATTTATTGACTTATTTGCAGTTTTCTGTATTCTGTTTTACTTCTTTTGTAATGTATTTTTGTATTTTCTGATTGCCAAAAGGAATTTTTTAAAAATATATTATTATTTTCACTATGCATCCATACCGTATGCTGCAATCGACGGCCTTTAAAGCGCGCACACTAAATGTCTATTTTCTACCCATTACTGTTTGAAAGTTGTTCGTATTTTTGTTTTTTATTGCCGCAAAATTGTGAACACATCATTTTATTTGAGTAGATAAGCTTGAAGCTAATATATACCTCTATACCGTATGCTGCAATCGACGGCCTTTAAAGCGCGCACACTACATGGCTATTTCCTACCCATTACTGTTTGAAAGTTGTCTGTATTTTGTTTTTATTGCAGCAAAAATTGTGAACACATCATTTTATTTAAGTAGATATCTTATAGATTCGAGTAGATTCAACACTGAGCCTGGGCAAACTTTTACTGGTTCTTATAAAATAAAAGTGTATGAGACTGTTACTTTAAGTTCAATTTTTTTTAGCCCAACTCTTCCTGCTCTAAATGCGAAAGTTCTAAACATTTGCAATGGCATCTGAATCAGAATAGACCTATCATTGAGATAAACAAATACTTTTAGATTTGAAAAAGAATGCAAAAATCAATTAATGAGGTTCGTCAGTTCACCCTAGACTTTTTCGGGACAACTCAATGCATAACACTTGCGATTCGGTACCTTGCTATCCCGCTGTACAAAAATGAAGGGGGCGCTATGACTATGTTCTCGTTTATGATATTTTAAACAGATACTGTATTACATTGGAATGAGGGATCGCGTCTTTGTACATTACGATATGGCATATGATTTACACTTAGTTAGGCCCTATAAGGCCAAATAAAAAAAAAATTATTGTGTTGGCCACGCCCGATCGACCCAAAATGTACGAAATTGAGGTTCGGTATTTTATTCTGCTGGAAGGTAGGCGATGCGACAGTATTATGTGATCATTTGCTCTGCAATGTAAATTTTAAAAAATGGTCTTTTGTTGTATGTTTGTGTATTTTGCTTTTTGGCATAAACACATTAGGCCTATTGGTAAAAAAAAAAAAAAAAAAAAAAAAAAAAAAAAAATTTTTTCCAAAAAAATTTCCTACCGACCTACCAATTTTTTGGATTTTCCCAAAAACGTGGCCAACACAAGATTTTTTTTTCTTTTTTGGCCTAATTGCCCGATATGGTACCGTATTAAAAATGAAACAGATGAATGTTTTCTATTATTTTTACTATGTTTAAATCCATGACGTAGCCCAATGAATGCGCTTGCCAAGATCACCAAGTATCCATAGTAACGGTATACTGTAATTATTATAGGGTAGCTCGATCGTGCGCATTTTGTATCCACTATTATAGTGTGGAGACTTTGGTGTGCCCTATAACGCACGCTTGCACTCATAGAGAGTTAATGGCGGACATTAACTGTCCGTCATTATGCGTATTTACTGATATCAATACTATTTCATATTCAATATTTAGGCCTACTTTTTTATAGGCCTACGTCCGTCCCGTCAATCATTAAAACGCGCACACATGTTTATTTTCCCATCCTTTATTATACTTGAAAGAAATTTATTCTGTGGTTCCTTAAATAGTTATAACGATTTATGTTGGAACTTTGCAATAGAAAATTGATACGTTTACTGACAATGATTTTGTTATTGCGCCATCAAGAAGACGTACAGGCATTTAGCTTTGGCTGAATGCGGCATAGAAACGAACGGTCGGGCTAAAATAAACTTAAGCATATGAATATACTGGGTATGAAAGCTTATTTATTAAAAATTAATCAATCTATATGAAGTCATTTCCTCTAAAGCTTAACTAGAAAATGCAGCTTAAGAGTGGATACCTTTTCTGATGAGATTCGGTTAATTATTACGTTTTTCATTTGTGTATATCGATCCACCCAACCATTACACACACACTCACGTTGGTAAACAATATGACGTCATTACTTCCGGTAGTAATTATCACTGACAATATCAATACGCAATCAAAAAAAGAACATCTGTCTTGTTTATTTCAGGTACGGGTTTGAATGTTTCTTTCAGTTTTAAAATAAAATTTATTCCCATATCGTAAGATTTATTAGTGATAATGCGTAGCTGTATATCTGCGCTAAGTATTCAAGCCATTTTATAATTTAGCCACATTTATAAGCCTGCTTTAAAGACCTGACTATTATTTTGCGTTGCTTGCTAGCACTGTCTGCTCTTGTGTTTGCTGGCTGGCCAGGTGATCAGCGCGCTGCGGACTATCACATGCGGTAGTAGGGATTTTTGGTACTGATTGGCCGACGTTCCCTGACAGGAGGAGGCCCTCACAGCAACCTGGGATAATTAAAAAGCAAGAACATACTGCAGATAAAGTGAGATTGGTACGGTAATTATCGCTAGTGCTGTATTATTTCTGACCCACTTTCATCGGTTTATTTACCTAGGCTAGCTGTACAACCTCGCAAGCAAACACATTATTGTCAGCGAGGTTTTGACGGATTTCCACACTGGGGAAGGATAACCGTGGCGTGAGGTAGGCTAGACTGGCGTTACTGTTGCACCATCTCGTTTGACAGTTGAGCGGCTCTGTGATTGTTGTGAATGGATTTCTACAAATCGCATGATTAAGGGACACGATATAAAACACTCTGATACCGGTTGTTCTAAATTTTAAGGTAAGGAAACCGTTTGTATCGTCTAGGTCAAGTACGTGGTACCTACCCAGGTAGGCCTACGGCGGCACTAGGAAAAACATCGCACACAGTATGTTAATGTTATGTTCGTTCCTCCAAAAGCCTGCAGAAATTGGATTCCAAGATTTAGATGTGTTGATGCAATGTTATTGTTAGGTCATACTAAAAGCAGGTGGTTTAGTTATGACTGCCTAATAATAATATACCCCAAGTGGTTAAAATTTGATACTTCTCTCACAAACCATGTGCCAGACTTGTTGTTGTTGGCAAAAAGTTGTTTATTGCGTGGATGATACAAATTTGCTTAAGTTTAAACACGGAAAATTTTCTAGGAAAATAGGTGCACAGAACTGAGAATTGTAACTACTGTACGTATACATACAAATTGGTTATATATTAAGATTTGGTCAAAGCCTAATTTTTGACAAAATCTGCAAGGAAATTGATCCTTATTGTGCGAACGGATTTCTAGGCTTACTTTTTGCGCGGAGGAGATATTCCCCACTCAGGCGTTACTTTACAGTCTGGGCTGTGTGCAGTGTTCAAATTGATATTTACTTGCAAATCAAGTAGTGAAATTGAACACAAAATTGTTTTTTTTTAAATTATACTGCGTCCTCTTTCGGTTTTGAATCACTAGGCGTTTCCCAGCCGCTTGGCGGTATAACCAGTCTTCAAAGCGTAAATCCATACCCTTCCCATCCTGCACCGTCCTCTTCTCTAAACTGCACGGCGGTATAGACAGGTACAAATCAAAATATTGGTATATTTTGCTTTGCTTTCCGTATTCTGCCCCTAGAAACCATATCAGATCAGTGCTGGGTAAGATGTAGACAATAATAATTTTCCCCAACACTCTGCTTTTTCAAGTTGAATAAACCCATGTCATTACTAATAATAGTGGCCGGTAAAAATAGTTGTCATTTGTAGTTACCATCATTTTTATTAAAATACCAGTAAGTCTTTATGGTTAGGTAAAGCAATATATCCATTATTAATCGTCATAACTGTACTTGCTACCTGTAACGTTATGTACATCTTTTACAGGCTTTAGTGTACACTGTTTTAATTTAAAACAAAATTTAGGTTATGGTAGCATATGTTTTAATGATGATTGAAGTGTTGTATTTTGAAGGTAATTCCATGCCTGCATTGTGCATGTGATCATGTACTATATAATTAGAATGAGAAAAGGACAATGGAAAAGAAATAATTAGGCTCCTAATTATAGAAGCATAGATATACTGCAGAACTAAAGAGTAGGTCAAAATTATTCTTATCGGACATGGTGCTGTCAGCTATTGGTCATCTGTCAACACTGCACTCGGTGTGCCTGTCAAATGAAATGAACTAAATTAAACCTTACACATTTCCATTTACAAAGGAATTTCACTTACACAACATTAGTGTATCCGTGCAAACGCAGTATACTAAAAAATAAGTGAGCCTGGTAATAAGAGGAATGGTAAAAAGGAAATGGAAAGTAGTAACAGAGACTGAGGAAAAAGGAATTTAAAAGGAAAATTGGTAATGGAAAATGATGGAAGGAACAGTGAAGGAAAATTAGTTAAGTAGAATGAATGGAGACAAAGAGGAAAGGGAATGAGAGAAGATGAATGAATTTGAAGTGGGAATAAGGAAAGAATTGAGGACTAAGAGAATGAAGGAAAAGGAATAAATGAGTAATGTATAGAAGAGTTAGGGAAAATTTAATGTACAGTATATGTTCCCAAACCAAAGACTAATTACAAAAAAAAAAGTATCTCAGTCGTGGTGCTATCGAATGGAATAAATTGAGCCCTGATGTTCAGTCTTCTACCTATTTAAGTATTTTCGAAAACCACATTTGTACTAATAATTAATGAAACCAACGTTTAATAGTATGAACATTCTATAAATCCTTAATTTGATGTTTTCTTGTCTTGTTTTATTTATATTTTACATTCCTTTTCATAATTTACAGTTTAATTTTGTGGAATGGATTTTCTTCTTTTCCATAGTTTATTTTGCCTTCGTTAGGTGTACTGTAGATTACAGTACTTTTATTTTACAAAATTGTCGACTTTTGCATACAGTACTTTTAACAATTATATTTTGTATCTATTTTATTTAATTTCGGCATTTAACTTTTGCTTTTTATGATGTACCATTACGTATAATTTGTTAATTGTAAATAAGGTATCTCACAGACATTGTATTTGTTGATTTGTGCTTCGTGAATAAATAAAGTTTTACTACTACTGCTATTTGGGTGTATAATAATAATAATAATAATAATAAAAACTTTATTTAGCCATGGTAATCAATTGATCACCTTAATGGTGTTTTTCATCAATGCCGTAACAGACATGATAATTAAACTTAACTAATTTTAAACAAAGAATAATATTAATTAAAGAAAATAAAAGGAAACTTAAAAACCAAATTAGGAAACAAAAATTAAAACATCAAAATACGAAAAATTAATTTAATATATAAAAATGTGCTAATCTAAGATTGCTTATTAAATGTAGGCTACTGAATATAGCCTTTCAAAAACAAAGCCCTAGTGGTAGTGAATATAATTGAAATATTTGAAATGAATAATATTAAATAATTTTAATTAGAAATATAATATTTCTACGGCATATAGGATCTGTTATTTATACAGTCTCAGCGACGTACACCCCACACTGACAAGATAGCCTCATCCAGGGTGTCATTCTGAGGTCAATTTATTGATTTTCTACTTCCATAACATTTCATATGCTAATTAGCTAACAATAGCACACACCATAACATAACAAATTGGGCATACACACTAACAGTAGTTCCATTTATTATATTTTAATAAATATGCATTGTATTGTTAAACAAAATGTTTTTTAAGATTAGGTTAACAGTATTTCTTGTTCTGAGCCGGAAATGTGTTAAAAGAATACAGACAATTTGGAGCTCAAACCCTTTTTAAAACATACTGTTATATCTTTTGAAATTGTATCCAGTATAATAAATATTTTTTAAATATTTAAAAAATGTGCTCATCATAAAATTAATTTAATTAATAATAAATGAATAAAAATTAAACATGATGTGCAGTAATGATATTGATAATGGTAATAATTTTATTAATTTTTAAACTTACAGTAATTAAATTTAGTAGACAAATGAGCTATTTATTATTCAAACTTTTTCAATTTCATTAACCTTTAGAAAAACTGTGTGTCTGAAATAGTCTTTCTCAAGGGTAACTTATCACACCTTTTCCCATAATTACTGAATTGTCCATGAACTCTTCTCAAAACTACCCTATTCAATGACTTTTTCTTAAGAGTTGGCCTACTGTCCTTTCCCACTGTTTATGAACTCTCCCACTGATTAAGCCCAATAAAAAACAATTATGGTATATCACCCTAATCTAAGCTGGAAAAATATGAATTAGGGAGGCTTTTTATTTTTGTTATTTTTTTTATTTTGAAAGCCAAATATCACCCTTGTGTTGTTTGCTGGTGCATTGATATTCCATTTAAATTACTTTATTGAGATAATACAAACAATAAGCCTATCTACTAAAAAATAAAAATTGTTTATAAAAGAAATTTGGGTGAGGGTGTAAAAGTATCAATTTTTTTGTTTGTTAGACCTTGCCCTATTTTAAAGTAATGGATCTTACTGTTAAACTTTGCAATGGACTTTTTCCATTGATTATCGTGGACAATTAATATTTTTCCCATGCATTATCCTGGACATCTTAATAAGCCTTCTGCAAACCACTTAACTAATTCCTTCGTGGTCAGACAAAAAAACTCCAGACTAGACTGTCCAATTAACCTTCCTCAAAGACTGTATGCACTGTCAGATTCACACAAGAAAGAATGTCTCATGTGCCCTGTGATAGGGAAGTTTTAGGCATCCCAGGCCCGTAACAAGGTTCATAGGAAGCGGGAGGGGGGTTTCCTACAGTATAGGCCAAGTTTAACTCAGAGTGTTTCTTTAATAAACAATGTATGGTAGAACATTTGCAAGTGGTCAAGGATTACAATTGGAAGTTGATGGCAGTTGATGTGGCAGATATCATGTCAGGATCACTTGACTTAAAGCTGTGTGATTGAAGGTCTTTATTATTATATATAAATAAGTTACATTTCTGTAAAAGTGTTATAGAACATACTGTAGGTGGTGGATGATCACTTGGTAGAACTTCGGTTTGGAGAAATCCTTCACTGTAGATAATTGACGTATTGTATGAACAGTGCATAGGCATCAATTGGTGATGGACAGTTTGACATGTCCCCCGCATTTCAAAGTAGGAGGGACATCATATCAATCATCCCCCCCCCCCCCACATATTCACCAATTCTTAGTTAAAATCCATCTTTTTATAGCGGAAAAAACATAAATATTTATAAACTGGGGGTAAAAGGGGATTAAGCAACCTGGAACCTGGCTTTAAGTACCATATGCTGAGCTGAAGTTAAGTGTTGCATTGTGAAATGTTCTACATATGCTGATAAAAAAATGTAGTTTTTAGCAATCTCCAGACTACAAAAATGATCAATTGTATACCAGCCCAAAGGATAGTTTTTAAATTACATTATTCATGCATCTGTATATTGGCAAAGAAAACATTTTCTTGTTCTGAATTTCAGTGGTTAGCTATTAAACCTTATAAAATATTCAAAGTATACAAATTTTATGGCCCATGTAGTCCAGTGTAGGCAGTACAGTACATCATAATTTAATTGAGTTATTTGATTATGTATAAAGTACCGTATGAATAGCAATTTCATTACCACACCTTGCTATGGCAGTTGGTAGTTGTAAAAGTTGTATCGGCCTTGTATATGCCACAGCCAGTAAAAAGGACATAGTAACGCAAACAAAGATCACACCAAACAAAGGATGGTAAAATATTCATAATAATGCTTAATAATCATATATATTCTTTCTTTGAATATTTTAAGTTGTGTACCTGACGGCATTTTATATACAGTATTTAAGGGCTCATTAAAAAATGATGAAATTTCCATAATAACCAAATGGAAGGAGGTTGGTTTTTATTTATTTAAAAAAAAGTGTTTTTGAAGTCCATTATAATTGTTTACCACAGGCAGAATTTTAGTCAGTTACATTGGCAACAATGCATGGTACAGTGGGGAGAAGGGGTAGTGGATAAGTCTCCCTCGGACAGCCCAAGCAACCCTTCAGCCACAACTCGAACCAAGACGAGACGGAAATTCTTACTCAGTGTATAATGTACAGCATGTCTCGCTACAGCTTAAAGGCACAGGATTGGACATTTCCGATAAGCCCTGTCCCTTGAATATTGTTTGCTAGGGACGGTTCCACAAAACGACAGCTATAAAAACATACGTGAATATGTGCGTTTGTCGGAAAACATACGTGTTTGCGAGACACTTGCATATCCCTGGCTCTAAATTCACCACACAAACTTTGTATGACTTGTTGTCCAAGGGAATTTGAGATTTTTCAACAAATGTTAGGCATTGGCCCTGCAAATCTACAGCCTGTTTAGGTATGCACAAGAGCTTCTGACCCGCGGATTATGCTACAATTTCTAGGCTAGCTAAGGTTTACGAATGATCACATGAATTTCAAAGCATACAATGCAAGGAGAACACTAGAACAAGTAAATAAACACTATTTTGAACAATCATACAACCTATCCTTGCCATTTATTTCTCACGTAAACGGTGGGTGGTTGTTTTTGAAACGATAACATTACCTTTTCCTATACTTTCACATTGATCGCACTGTAATGTTTTCCATGGTATATCCACCGTAGGTCACGTGACCGTATGTAAACAAACATCGCCGAATCCCTCTATTCTACTGTAGTAATGTCGCAATATACTGTACAGTGTATGTTCATGTCACTTCCTCTAAACCTGTACTATTAATAGAAATTTCTGATGTAATTCATTGTTTGAGATTTTTGCTGGCAGTTGGTGCAGCCTCATTGTGTCTGAAATTGTTATGTAAACTGTCAAATGATATGAGGCGTACAATTAACAATAGGAAACATAACAATAGGCTCCAGTACAATTAGTATAGGCTGATCCATGTTTAAATAAATTATTACACATAATAATCAAAGTGGGTATCTAGGTAAAAGAAAGTCTTGAAAAATGTTGGCGATAAAACTGAATCTATGAATTTAGTGCATATATGCAATAATAGTTTGATGCAGCACTGGATGAAAATCTAAAATTGAAAAACCTAAAAGACTTTAAAAACTTCGGCGATCTTGAAAACCTTATACAACTTGCTACAAACAAGCAATGTTGGACATAGAGTTTGTTTTATAAATGGTTGGTAAAAGTAGTTGAACATGTATTGCCAGTGTCTGCATTTCAGAAAAAAATTTTTTCTTTATTTTTATTACGCCCACAGCTGCCATGAAATCTCCAAAAGTAAGATATGTATATTTCTTCCTAATTATATAAATTTAAAACATTTAACCATCCCATTACCATACTACACTGTTTACATTCAACAATAATATTTTATTTGTATTTTCTCTTCTTTTATTGCAAAAACTGGATAAAAAAACAAAATTTTACTGTAATTTTTTTCTGCCTTCCTTTGACCTATCTATTAACCATTGTTGAACATCAAAGTTTGAAATGTTTCACACAGTGTAATGTATTAATAATCAGAGAATTTAGTGCATGCGATAATAGCGTAATATATAGCATTGGATAAAAAATTATGAGAATGATAGGTACGTGTAATACTGTGAGTGAGAGGGCATTACGAAATTTCAAACTATTGATGTTAAATTATCTGTGGGTACATACAATATCATATTACAATCTCCATGACAGCGCATATCCGTATAGATAGGATCTTTTCATTTTCGATAATTATATAAATTTGCATAAATCAATACAAATATTGATGCCTCACATTCAGAGATATTAACTTAATTGGTTGTATGGTCCCTCAAACCAGCTTTGGTATTTATAAACCGTGTATATAGTCTCAATTTCGTAATTCTATAATTAATATTATTTCCAGAATTTCATGTTGATAACACCGGCAATAGTAAATGTGATTCTTCTATGATTCATAACGCCAGCTGCCTTTCTCAGTTCTGATTGGTTGATGCAATCGTCTTACTTGCTGCGTTTATAATCCGTTTCAATTCACGATATTGTGAGGAATTGTGCAAAGTTCAATTGTGTATTTTCAATAGAGTTTTGATCAGTCAGTGACAAACATATTATTTTAGATATTCTCTGAAATTTGTTTATAAAGAAAATTTCAAATTTTCAAGTGTTAGCATTAATTTTATTTGGTCACACTGTGCTAGGTTGGCATCAATTATTATTTTGTTTTATGGAAATAATTTTTTTTTTTTAAGGATGCCATAGTGTTTTAAAACATTTATTTAAGTAATATTATGTTGTAATAATAATAATTTGATGTTCATAATCTTAGGCCAACTAAAGCATCATTTTTAGTATGATTTGATTAATGTTTAAATGTTATTGCAACTTTGGATGTGTACTCTATTTAGCGGCAGTGGCTTAGACTGATTTCCGGGCAGCTGGTGTCTACTATTTTTTCCTTTGAAAAGAAAGAAGACACTAGGAATGTCGTCTCTTTTTGCTTTGTGTTATCTTTTGCATTAATAATAATAACATTAATAATATGCACAGCTATTTTTGTCAACTTTGCTCAATCGAAATGTCATCCTCTACTATCGGAAACCGTGGCTTTTAAATAGTGTGCAAATTATGTCCTATGAAAACCAGTCTGTACTCATTTAAACTGCATTAAACGTTGTTTTCGTTTTGCAGATGAACATCGTAAGGTGACATCCCATGATGCTTCATTACACATTTTAGGATACAAAATTGGTAAGTAGATGCCTTTAAACACTGCTATATTACTAAAGCAGTGTTGTTACGGGTACCTTTGTAATAACCAGTTAATGGGGTGACTAATTCAAGGACGGCTATATTCCTAGACAACTGGTATTCAGTGGGTAACTAATGCATGGGCAACTATTTATGGATTATTTATTTTATGGACAGTTGATTGCTGGGCAACTTATTCTTTGTCAAACAAACAGGGCCGGCGCCAACCTGTGGGCCATTAGGGACACCCGTCCAAGCTGTCTGGGAGACAGTAGCAATCTGTCGGGGAAAATCAGTTAGAATAATCTGGTATAAAGCCAAAGACAAACTATTAGACAGTGTTGTTTTTGGGCATCTAGTTGTGACAACCTAAATTTCTTCACCTCAGTCCCAAAAACGAAGGGGATGAGGTGGGCATGGTCCATCTGTCGGGGAGCGATGGATCATGTCTGGGAGCACTGACCCCACAGTTGCAACTGGAACATACAAAACTATCTCTTGGTTAGGTAATGTACAGTATGGACAATTTTCTATCGACAGCTATTGTAGTCCGTGGACAACTTATCCGTGGTCTCTAATAATCTATTGGTATCTCTTACATGGGCATTTACAGGAGTGGTGGCATCCAACGTGGGGTCCGCGGAGGGGGCCATAGAACCTCGGTCAGGAAAAAGTGGATCTTCGCCAGTTAAGAAGCCAATCCTTTAATTGGAGAACACGCACAGCATTTTTACCTTCTGATGGTGCCATATCTGGGCGTGACTATATTCTTAAAGTTTGCTGGTGGAACTAAAGTGGATGTGACATTCCCTCCACCCCCAGCCCAGACTTATAACCCCTGACCAGTACATCTCTGGAGCTGCCACTGCATTCACAATAATCCATGGAAAAACAATCCACCGGGTAACCATTGACAACTTTTCTATGGATAGCATATATTAGACAATATTCAGGAATAATAGTTGATCTAAGATACCGATCTTATTGAAAGAAACACAACATTAGTGATCCCCAAACTGACCCATGACCCCAATGGGTGAAGAGAGTGTGTCCATCTATACTGTTCTTTGGCAATTTGGTCAATTAACAACTGATCCAATCCACTTACAATAAACTACCAACTTGACCGGAGGGCGTTGATGCCATTAGTGGAATTGAGAGAAGTTAAAATTATCCAACTTAGCATGCTTTCCATGTCAAGCATTGATTATGCCAGAGTGTATTTTAGGTAATTGGTGGTTTGAAGTGTTTAATCCTGCCGAGCCTTGGGCCTGTAAACCCTGATCCATTCTGTTCACTTTAAAACTAATTTAATATTTAAAGCCAAATATAGTTACTGTAGGAAGAATTGGTGGAAATAGTAAGATGTAGAACTGCACTGATCAAATTACTTTGAGTACTTTTACACTATATACTGTACTTTACTTTAAGTTTTGTTAATGTCACACCCAATTTTTGCCAGCCATATCTGGGTATATGAGTGACAAAGAAATACAAGAATTAAATTATAATTAATATATTATAATAATATTGCAGACTTCTCAAGTATTATAGGCAAAAATACTACGGAAGTTTATTGTAGGCCAAGACCATAAATAAATAGGTCTGAAGTCCAGAACAAATGTCACTTTTCCATCATCAGGATAATTGGTTATGTTGTCCTAGACATTTAATATTTGACAGATTACTGATAAATTATTTTGAAAACTAAGAAAAAGATGCCCTTAATTCTTTATCCTGTCCCATTTCTTTGAAATTCCACAAATGTTGCTAGAGCCTTCTACCTGTAATTTAAGCAATTAACCCATATTTTGCACTTAAGACAAATTACTAGGTGCTACAGAAATTTCGTACCATGAATATTTGAAGACTTGTTACTGAAAATCATTTTACTATATGACCGTACTTGAGTCTGGTACTGTTTGATGATTTGCAAAATAATATTGTAAATCCTGTGCTATAGGCCTACTCTATTCAGTTCAGTTCAATTCATTGCTTCGGTGTGCCATCATAGGCCATTATCCACTAACAAACATTACAATACAATGCCATACAAATCACAATAAACTATTTTACAACAAGATTGGTATGAAGTATCTGTAAATGTGAGTTAGTATTGGTCTACAATATTAACTTGCTTTATAAGAGAAGGAGAGATTTTGGGAAGGGTCTTTAGACCTGGAGTATGCAAGGGTAAGGGAATATAGAAGGAATGATGTTTCAAAGTGGGAGGTGCAACAATTGATAGGAAAAGAAGGGGATTTGTTTCACTCTGGTCTACAGCATCTTCCCAATGTTGCAGAGAGTGTAGAACATTTGTTCGGATTCAAAAGGGGATACTGTATATTAAACTGTGGTATGATAAAGTATGTGTAGATGAGTTTTGGAAAATAGGTAATACGCTTCAGTAAATTAATTTTACACTTAAGGGAGTTTTCCATACTGTATTATATAATTTACTATATAATAAATTATTTGCTAAATTGTACTACTGATATACAGTATTCTACTTGGAACTTATTTTTGTTTGGTATTTCTATAGCCGCGCCTATTCCTTTAGTTTACAAAGCGCTTTGTTTTCCCTGGTCATTGGCTCCACATGCTTAAGTGTTACTGCCATATTGGTGCAATAGCAGTCAACCCCACTAAAGTACACATTTATAGTCTTGGGCGGAGAGGAACAATGCAGATAAAGTAGCTTGCTCCAAGACACAAACGAAATGCACAGCGATGGGATTGAAATGCTGACCTTGAGGTTGGGAAGCCAAACCGTTCCTGTTGCGCCAAACCGCTTGCTTCTTGGTGGGTTTCCTCCCAAACCTTCCACTTGGGAACTTAACTAGGACGGAGCAGAAGAGAGGCAATTACATTTGTAGCTTTAAAGTTAGCATAATCGTATCTGTAGACTCTTAATATTTATCATCCACATCATTTTTCCATTTTTTAATAAACTAAAACATCGGTTGACCTTGATGTTAAATTTAATTATCAAATTAATGAATAAGATCTAATATTCATCTCGCCATACACATTTCACTTGTACCTGCAGTAAAATGACCTACATTACTTCCCTCAGGTGCACATATTCTCATACCTCAAACAAAAACTTGGGTTTCAAAGGAGTTGTCATTACTAAACTGGCATGTCTACTGTTATGTAAGCCATTGGCAATTAATAGCCGTATTCAACTGGTTGTTCTTCATTAAACCACGGCCACCTGCGCGGTGGTAAAATCCTACTTAACGAAGATGACCAGTCGTATAGAAAACATGCAAATACTCGACAAAACAAAATGGCTGCATAGTTACCGCGATACACGCTGAGTATAATCAAGGCTGCTTCAAATTGTAGCAGTATGGGTTTTTTGTAAAAAAATGTTTTCATCCAGTTTTTGAATTCTGTTAGCCTTCAATTATTTTTTGACTTCAATGAGGGTAAATATTATAATTTTTATTTTCTAAAAATTGAATCTATATTATATTAACGCAAATGTTGTTGCTAAACTGACCAATCAGCCATATTTTTTTTGGCCACGTGCATAACTTAACGCTGATTAACGTATTCTGGTTACGTTAACTTTCGTCGTCAACGAAGTCTATTTTACGAACCAGTCGAATAAAAATAATACTCAACTAAATTCGTACTCAACGAAATGAACCAGTCGAATAAGCCCATTGTCCATTATTAAATTTTGGAAGTAAAAATGTATATGGTTGCAAGGGGTGTGCTTTACTATGTAAGATCACCACCCACTCAAAGTCGTAGCCTTTTGGTACTGTATGTTGGTTTACAGTAAATATTATACAGTAGATATTTAGATAAAGGAAATAATCTTTTTGTTACTGTAGAAACAGACACTATAGAATACTATCATTTACATTTTTCCTAATCCCTTTACATAGGGAACAGTTGTATTTTGCGATGGCGATGAATGGATTTGTTAGGGTGTAAATGATACAAGTAGGCCTAAGATATATTAGGTTGTTACAGTAAGTCTTGGTCCCATAGAGTGTCAAAGGCTAATCTCTCACAAAGGTATGTACCTGTAGCTAGGCTTGGTCAAAATGTAGCTAGAATTGCTATTTTCAATTTCAATTATTTTTACCTTCAACTCTGAATTTAATAAGAAGTGGTCTTATTATACATGGGTGGAGTGTTCTGTATGAATAGATAATTGTGGGCTTATACATGAAGTGAGTATACCCAAGGTAGGCTTATAAATGAGGAACTATCATACTTTTGAAAACTTGCATTTAAGGTTTTAAAAATAATTCTTCAGTTTAACATTTTAATGAAGCAGTCGATCTAAAAAGGTTTATCTTCAGGACATACAAGGCGACTCTCAATGCCATGTATTGATGTTAGACAAACAAATTATAAAAAAAAACTTTATAAAAAAAAAACTGTATTCTAATGTAAATATTGATTATGTATACAATCACTACTTGAAAAATTGTGTGCAATGTACTTTTCCTCAGGTAAACTATGGTTTGGCTTTTAGGTGTGTGTGTGTGTGTTAACATATTTACAGGTAGGTATGCCTACTGTACTATACTTTGAGTCTATAGCAGGTCACAATTTCGTTCTGCAGTACATAAAATGCATGATTGCATAATAAGTAGTAATATTTTAATAAATCAATTTCATATCTGATTTGAAATGAAATTGAAATTATTATTTAGATCAACAAATGATATTCTTTTTAAATTATAATTTAATAACATTAATTTTTATTACTGTGCTATGTGATTATTAAATCTTAAAAACTTAAAAAAAAACAAAAAAAAAACAGGGATAACATTTGATTTAATACTTTAATTTAAAACTGTTATACAGAATTATATATCTATGCATAATTGGGTAAGTTGATTCTATATATCTAAAATTAACCCCACCTACAGTATACTGCCAACACCAAAATGTATATATCAAATAAATATCACAATAAATATAAGCCACTGAAAGTAGATACATTTTTTACAGCCAGACATTGGCTGGAA